CATATATTAGCTGACAAAAAGCAATTCATTACTTGAAGCACAATGCTAATTACAACAAACACTTCACAGCTTATTTTTCTGGTCTCATGTTGCCCTTTCTTTCCTCTTTAGCTCCAGCTTTTGCTAATATTTCTGAGAAACCCCTCATGAATCTAACCTTTCTGGGGGATGGAGGGTGCATTTTATTCAAGTTCACATGTTCATATAACTAGTGTGTTTCCAATCATCAGTGCCAGCAAGTTTTAGAAAATGTTTTATTGATTTTTTAAAAGAGAGAGAGGGAGAGGAACATCCAGAAACATCCATTGGCTGCCTCCTACATACCCCCTACTTGGGATCAAGCCCACAACCTAGGAAGGTACCCTTACCAGGAATTGAACCAGCAACCATTTGGTGCACAGGGTGATGCCCAACCAACTGGCCACACTGGCCAGGGTGTCAGCAATTTTTAATTTGTACCAGGGAGGGAAGGCAAAAATCTCTAAATTCTTTGAGAAATAATGGCTGTCCCCCTATTCTCACAGGCTTTGTGTCATAGGCCAGAACTGAGAATGTCTGTCCTAAACACCCTTTTAAAATTCTTATCTTAAGGGTCTAGATTCACTCAACAACATTTACTCCATGCCAGGCATTATACTAGGCACCAAGGATATAAATAAGAATATTAAAATGTGTCTTTGTTTAAAGAAGTCATAATTCAGTAAGAGAGAGAGACTTGTAAGTCAGCAATTACAAAACAGTGACAGCTGGTAATATAGGTATAAGGATAGGATGTTATGGAACCATATCAAAGGAATAACTAACTCACATTCTGAGAATAAAAGAGGTTATGGTAGGTTTCCAAAACCCTGCACCCTGCACCCTGACTGGGGTGAGAACAAATTAGTCTAGAGTTTGGGGAGATGAACTTTGTGAAATAGAAGAAAAAAAATGGGAGAAGTACCAGTGATGGATAAACAGGATATGTTCGGAAGAGGAGACATGTAAGAACAAGTTCAAGATAATTATTCAAGGTGTAAGGAAAGGAAGGTAATGCAAGAATTGAAGTTAAAGAGGTGAAAAGAAGCCATGCATATCAGGAGGAGTTTGGAGTTCACCTTGGAAGCTAGAGAAGCCATTTAACAGTTTTAGGCATAAGACCACGAAATTTGGATTTCAGATCATTACTCTGCCTAGAGTGGAGAATGCAATGGAAGGGCCAAGACCGAATGAAGCAGGAAGATTATTTGTAAGGCTGTTGTGGTTCATCATGAAAGGGTGATGATGGCTTGCATCAAAAGTTTCTAAGATTTGGTGATGAACTCTGTGGAGGATAAAAGAGAGGGGGAGAGACAATGCCTAGATTTCATCAGGGTTGTCTCATTTTTGCTTTGCTCTAGTGCAGGGCAGATGCCTTATAGGAATTTTCCAAAAGTCTAAACCGGGGAATAAATAGACCTGTGTTTAGAAGAGGTCATTTTGAGATTAAACAAGAAAAAAGAGCTATAAAGGATAGAGATAATCAAGTCTGTTAGGCCTCTCAAGAGAAAAAGGCTTAAAATTCATACAAGAAGAAAAATAAGCTAAAATGCAAGATTATCTACAGGCTTGAAAGATATTTACAAGTCCTGTAACATCTTGGCCCGGACGAAAGCAGCACGTCAGAACAACCCAGATGGACCTCTATGATCAAGTAAAATTCCATTGCGGATGACAAATATTTTGATTTATTTTCCTGGGACTGATCTTCAATGGACAAAGCCTTTTCTCTGTTCTCTCTTCATGCTTGAAGAATGATTTACAGTCACATATTATTGAGATGGAACTTTAATTTCAATACTGGAAAATAAAAGATCTATTTGTGTGCCAAGATGGTGTCAGGGGAAAAAAACAAGATATCTTGTTATGCTTTTTTTCTATGAGGGAAACAGATATCACCAGTCATTGCTAAAGGCCACAGACAGTGTTATTTGAGGATAAATTCACTTCATTTACCATAACCTATGCATGTAATAGATGAAACTGTCCTTGGTCAAAGTCAGCCAAGAAGATCAGTGGGGGAAAAAAGGAGAATCATTTGTAACAAAAATTAATCAATAAAAAAAAAATTTAAAAAAAGTCAACCAAGAAGGTCAGAAAAAGTATTGAATTGGAGTACAAATGTGTCTTGCCATTTGCTTTTCTTGGTTTCAAGCACACATTTAGTATTTAGAAATGTCAACAATTATTATTTCCTACTATCATTATCACAGAATGAGAAGTGTAATTGGTATTTAACAGTGTAGAAAGGCACAAACAGAAGACCATTCAGATACAAAAAAGAAGGAAAATAGACAGATTCCTACCCCTTACTGATTTATAGCCCACAGTTCAAATGAGGCCCACCACCTCCTATTTTTGTAAGTACATTTTATGGGAACACACCCATGTGTATTCATTGACATAATGTGAATTCATTTCTTTACACAATGGCAGCATTGAGTGGTTGTGACAAATACTAAGTGTCCCACTAACCCTAAAACATTTACTATCTGGCTCTTCACAGAAAAAGTGTGTTCACCCACAGATGACATGCTTTCTGAAGACTTGAAAAATGGGAGGAAGACTTCACATGAGTTTCTTACACTAGAAAATAAGTTTGACCATGATAGATCTATGAAAAATCAAATTCTAAAGATGGATTCTGAAATATTAGTTATAGAGAAATGTATAGTCTGTGGTAGTGATCAGGAAGAGGTGATGAAGTAATTCTGCCTTCTTTAGTCCCCTCTCAGCATCATTTGTCACTTCCTGGTTTGGGATTTTAGGGCTGGTTTCTGAAATCTCAGTGAGATGGGTCTGGTTTTCATTTGCCTCCCATCCATCAGGATATAACTCATAAAACAACTCAGAAATGTACTTTATATTTTTTATTTTTTAATTTTTTTCTTATCCTCACCAGAGGACATTTTTCCATTTTTTGTTGAGGTAGAGTGGGAGGGAGAGAGAGGAACAGAGAGAGAGAGAGAAACATCGATGTGAAAGGAACACATCGAGTGGCTGCCACCCGCACAACCGACCAGGGCCGGGGACAAACTGCAACCGAGGTACATGCCCTTAGCGGGAACCGAACCCCGGTCTCTCAGGATCGCAGGCCGACACCGCTGAGCCAAACCGGCCAGGGCTGTACTTTATATTTAATGCCGTTGTTTTGTTGTGATGATTTTGACACTGACATTTTCTATTCACCTCTAGTTTGAATATCGAGAAAAAAAATCACTTTCAGCTTTAAAAAAAAAAAATCCCAAATAATATGTTCAACACATGTACCCTTTTATCTCTGATTCTTGATAATCTATTCTCTACTTCTATTTTCCCTGGTTTCATTTCATTCTTGATCTCTGCACCCTCACCTTCACTTCACATTGACGTTGACTGGGTCTCTGTGCCTTTCTCCATCCCCTTATCTCATCCCACTCCAGACCACCCTACCCTCCACCCACCCTGTCATTAGGCCACACTCTTCCCCTAGCCAAGAATGATCATCAAGGATTGGTTCAGTCTTAAGGGTGGGATGAACAAAGCCTTTGTGCATATTGGCTAATACTTATAATTGTAATAGAAATAACACTAATAATGAACGTATAGAGGGTTTGTTGTTTATATCTCAACAACATGTTCAAAATGACATAACACAGCAACTACATCTCAAAAAATGGTATGTCTTGGCCATGAAAATAGAGTTTCTGGATTTCCTATAAAAAGCCAGGAAAGAGGTACAGTCTCACATGTTATAGAATCTCTAAACCCATCTTATACATCCTGGAATTGAAAAAAAAAAATCAACATTGTTTTCTCACTTTCTGAAATTTTCATGCTTGAAAAACGGTTTACATGTATTCTTTCTTTTTTCTTAATGATAACATGGGGGTGGAGCAAAGAAACGGATTTATTTTCATACAATTACAAAGGACAGAGTTTACCAAATCCTATTATAATTAGCCTAGTGACAATTTAACTAAACTAAAAAGGGGGAAAAACTGCAAAATTACTTCCCGAATGCAAGCAGGCCTGCCATCCCGGCACAGTCCCTCTGAAGCTGAGAACAGCTCGAACCACGATGGGTCCTCCATAGGCTTCCTCCCTCTAGAATGTGTTCAGCAGCAGCCCAGGAACTAAAAGTGAACAACATACCCCAGTCTTATCACAGGACACCAGCAGCAGGATGAGCGTGACATGCTGGTTGTTCCATCCCACCCTTATCTAAAGTGTGCCCTTCCTGATCGATTTCTCATGGGCTTCAGCTCACTGTCTAGGTTAGTAGCCTACAGCCACGTGTGGCTGCTGAGCACTTGAAATTCAGCTGGTCCAAGTTGAGATGTGCTGGAAGTGAGTATAAAATACACACCGATATCAGAGATTTAGTTACAAAAAAGTGAGTTTGACTATTCTTTGAAATAATAGTTTTGATGTATTGGGTTAAATAAAATATGTTATTAATATTAATTTTACCTGTTTGTTTTACAGCTGTGAGAAAATTTGAAATGACATATGGGACTCCTATTATATTTCTCTTGGACAGTGTTGCTCTAGTGTTATACACAGTGGGAATTAATTTCCTTAGTCTTCTCCCAGAATATGATGCCAAGGCCTTGATTTAGACATTCACGAGGCAACATGATTAGATGTGGAAAATTACTGGTGTGTGTCATTGAATGGGGTGTATGTAACCGAGATATAGCGATACTCTTCATGGAAACAGAGAATCTGGGTATGGGAACTGGCAAGGTGACACAGTGAAGATGACATTGATTCATAGCTGCTTGGCTTTCTGTAGCGGTTGGCTGCCTGGGAGCCCATACCTCCCCACCTCTGTTCCCAACGGTGACAGCAACTTGAATCAGAAAAAAAAAGTGAGCAGTTTCTGTCCACTAATGGCCTTAGCCAGACAAAAGGGGAGAGTTTATTCAACTTCTGTAAAAAAAAAATTTCCTATTAGTCAGGCAGTGACAAAGAAATCACAGAAAGGGTATTTTGCTGGGTTTACTTTATTGAACAAGTAATTGGACAGACAGCATTGTGAACGGGAGGTCTGCAGAGCACGGGCTGGGTGGAGATGTCTCTGTGCCCTCTGATTGCAGAATCCAGGAGGAAAGAGGTGGAGAATACTGAAAGTCAGTGAGTCCATTCCCCCAACAGTTCTCTATTGTTTTCTACAGTAAATTAGATGAGCTTCGAAGAATTCTCTGTATATACATATGGTGAAGGTAGGCAATGCAGATTTGGGGTACACATTGTCCCTCAAGGTTTTCACCAATCCTTGCATCATTTGAACTAGAAGAGAAGATGGATAGGTTAGATGGTAGAAATTCAGAGACGTTGTACAACTGTGAGTTATACATTTATAGCTGTACCATAGTCAAAAAAATCCATAGATTCATGCACTCTGTCAAGAACTCACAGTTTAAAATCACTTTCACATTTCATTTCATTCATTCAATGAGCCTTTGTTGAGCACCTAGTACATACTACCTGTTGAGGTAGTTACAAAAATGAACTCTGCTCTCGGCTACATGTGACCCTCATGCAAAGAGATAGGTGTTATGAACATCATGTCACAGAGGAGGAAACTCAGCTTCAGAGAAGTTTAGTAACTTGTCAAGGTCTCACAATTGTTCAGGACTTAAGTCCAATTCCTCAAACAAAAATGCTTTACTCTTACAGTTTGTCTTAGGCCATGGGAATATAATCAGCCTATCTTCCCTGCCTGACTCATCTGATATTCATACACTCTTTAAATCAACATTTAAAACATCAAATCAACACTTAAACTTTTTAACAAGGGGCCAAGTGCCTCAGGAGTTTTCTTCCTTATAGCTACATATTACCACCTGGAGTCCTAGTAACACTATCATTCCAAACTCAAACCTCCATTTCATCTTTCCCATCGAAATTAAAATCGTGAAATAGATGTCCTTTGGTTTGAGAGCGGCAAACTTTGGTCTTGTTAAATCCTTGAAGATCTTTGTCATTGAATTGAGAATCATCACTTATTTATCTCACGAAATAGTATTAGTATTTTCATTAGTGTAGGTATTTCCTTCCAAAGTAGCTAATTTGTATTTAATTGAGATAATGCCTTCTCCACAGCCCCAGGTTTTCAGTCTCCTTACACCTAAAGGATGGTGGCAGACCATAAGAAATAAAGTCAGAAGTTCTACATTGGACCCAAGATATAATACTGAATAACTCTGATAAATTGCAGGATTCTTTCCAGGGTGATCCCTGCCTTCATTACAGGACTATTGTGAGGATGCAAAAAGAAAAAGCACACGAAACTCTAAAGCAGCGGTTCTCAACCTATGGGTCGCGACCTTTTTGGGGGTTGAATGACCCTTTCACGGGGGTCGCCTAAGACCATCAGAAAACACATATTTCCAATGGTTTTAGGAACCATGACACTGTTCCTCTATCCGTCTCCAGGAGGGTCTGCCCACATGCAGATATGCACACATACGACACGAGGAACCGTATTAAAGGGTTGGGCGTTAGGAAGGTTGAGAACCACTACTCTAAAGGGTTACATTAATCTTAGCAGTTACTGTATAATAGAAAGTCCTTCTTTGAGAGTAAGCAAAAGTATGGGTTCCAGAATCCTCAATCTATTTTTCCAGAAAAGTTGTGACTTCCTGGCCTTTTATGCCATCCTTGGGAGAATCTTCTATCCAGAAAAATGGCCAGGCAATCGGTTTCAACCTCCAGGATATGAATCCATAGTCATTACCAGAGCACTGCTGAGCCATGTCCCACCTTGGTGATTCCCAAATCACAGCACTGAATCATGCAGAGGGAACTGAAACCACGCCTAGGAAACCTTTTGTTCTAATTCATCCATCAGTTAACATCATAAATAATTCCTATCATCAATAACATCTCATATATAACCCTAGTGAAAAGAATACACCCAAAAGATGAAAGGAAGGAACTCCCTTACAAACCTTTTGTGCTTAGCCTTGGCAAGATTCTTTATTATTTGAATAAATGCATCTTATCGGTATTATCCTATGGCAACTTCCCTCTAAAGCAGTTTTGGTCAAGTTGTGTAAATGAGATTGCAGCAAGGTATGCTCTAAGGTGTGGTCTATACAAATTGTATAAAGGTTATTTTTCCCTTCCTGTTCTGGGATATATGTGGCCAGGTGTGTTTGTGAGATGGGGAACAGTATGTTCTATCAGTAAAATGGGGAGAAAACCACTCAGAGTTTATATGTAATAAGAGAGCAAACGCAAAACGGGGACCAGAGCAAAAATTTAAGACCTCTCTTTATGGGGTGTAAAGACCCAGAGTGGACAGATGACTTTGCCAAGCCCACATGAGAAAAGTGAAAATCTCCTGATGGCAGCCCATGTTCTGCCTACACGACCTGCCTTCCAGCTGCTGGTGTGAAACCAGAAGCAGCTGGCTGATAGCTCCTGCTGCCAGGTCCCACATCGAGGGTCACTGAGTAGTTGTTTAGAGTGTGGTCTCATCTACTGTTACTTCAGACCCTCAAATCTGGCAGAATAGTTTCCAATTCCATTACTGGCAAGTGGGAGGGAGTAAAATAATAATAAATGATGATAATGAATCACTATTTATTGTATTCACTAAATATTGTGTGCTTTAATTAAGTACAAATATATTTATGAATATCAAGTACACATTAAAATAGAATTCATTAAAATGATTACAAACAAGCACTGTGCCAGGATCTGTTTTTTTCTAAGTCCATACTTTGGTCTCTTAGGCATATTGATAGTGATAATAGTATAAATGCCATTAATTTTTAGACACTGTGCCAAATACTTTAAAGTCAGTATTTCTTGAATACTTTCAGTAACTTAGTAAGATCTTTAGTTTAGATCAGTGGTTTTCAACCATTTTCATCTCATGGCACACATAAACTAATTATTAAAATTCTACAGCACACCAAAAATTATATTCTATTTTTTGCCAGTCTGACAAAAAAAAAAAAAAAAAGAAGTATAATTTTTATTCATTCACACAAACAACCATTATTGTGTTGACTGTTGGCATTTTTTTTTTTATCCTTACCCAAGGACATTTTTGCATTTATCTTCAGATAGAGTGGGAGGGAGAGGGGGGGGAAGAGAGAGAAAGAAACATCGATGTGAGAGAGACACATGGAGTAGTTGCCACCTATACGAACCCAACCAGGGCCGGGGCCAAACTACAACCGAGGTGCGTGCCCTTAGCGGGAACCGAACCGGGGAGTCTCCAGTCAACGGGCAGATGCTCTAACAAGTGAGCCAAACTGGCTAGAGTGACTGTTGTCATTTTTAAATTTGACAATCTAAGGGCAAAGGGGTCAGTGCCCCTGTTTTAAAAATTCTTTTAGCACACTAGTTGAACATCACTGCTTTAGATATTTATGTGATTTGCCAAAGATCTCATATATGAAGAACATTAAAAACTGAAATTTGAACCCATATTTATCTGGTAACAAAATTTTCTCTTTTATTTGAATATTCCCAGTTTTTCTCCCCAAGTTACACATCATCTTGTTAAAGGAAGAGATTCCCCAAACGAAATCACCAGGGCGAATGCTGAACTCAATAACGTGTGCCAAATCATCCTTGCAGAAATTTAAATGAAAAGGCCAACTTTTCATTTTGGGAGACAATTTACTACCATGCAAAGCACAAGGATATGGGGGTCACCCAGAAATGGTCTAAGTCCATCTCCGTTGCCATCTGACCTCTCGTGGTCTCTGTCTCATCTTTTTATCGTAGACCACAGAAAAGCAACCTTCCTCTGTGAAACTGTTGTTAGGGACATTGCCCCTGACGAAAAGCCCATTTAGGATCCCAGTCAACACTTTTGAATGTTAACTGCTATATTATTCTTCCCACATATTTCAGCAATGACTTAGCGTCACCAACTGGTGCTAATACCACAATCCTGGCCGCCGGCATACTTACACATATTGGCGTGCCGAAAGTCGATTTCAGCCTGTTGCTCTGCTCACAAGGCCCTTCGCTGAGTATGCGGATATTGGTTTGGCGTATTCTAAAACAGAACAGAGTGATTTTCAAAGATGGGGAGCAAAGCAGCAAGGATGGATGTGGGTGGTAATTGTGCATCAAACCAGAACTGAAATTAGGAGGAGGGCCTGGGACCTGCACTCAACTTTTTCTCCAGCAGGCATCATCCACATTTAGTCTCTCTCTTTTCATTTAGCTCCACCTTTGTTTCCAAGCCCTGGATCTATTCTGTTTCATTCACCTATATACTCAGAATTACTGAATGTTGGAAATACGCTTGGAGATCATCTAGTCCAAAAGCCATTATTTTACAGAGGGGGAAGTGGGATCCCAGAGAGAATTGGACTTGGTGGAGGACTTGCTGACTTGAGTACTTGAGTATAATGTGACTTGGTGACTATAAAATATATTTCATATAAATATATTTAAATAAATATTTAAACTATGTATAGAATATAGATTGCATATATAAATATATTTTATAAAATATAAATAAGACACAATCATATAGTCTGAATTTTATCATTGGAAAGACTTAAAGGGTCTGAATTTTAATGCCTCTTACTTAAGAAATATTATATATCAAACATCTACTTGTTTGCCTCTGGGGATGGGAAATTTACTGTCTAATAAGGAAGTTAATTTTGGCTTTGGGCATTGCTCAAGTTGAAATTGCTTCCCCATAGTTTTTCTAAGATGACATAAACCAATACTCTTTCCTTTTGTCTGGGACAGCCTCCATTTTCTCTTCATAATATATACTCCTGACTTCTTTATCTTTAGCTAAACAATCCTGCCCGAGGCATGCTTTTATTGATATTTTCATCATTGGGATTTCTCACTCTAAAGTTCCCTTGAAGTAGATATTCATTTGTTATGGGTTTATATAATTAATAAGATGCTTGAAGGACATTGGATGACATTTACAATAAAGAGAAGTTGAAGGATTTCTGGGCTGAATTATTTAGTAACAAATCCCTGAATGGTTGTACACATTCCTTAAACAGGGATTCCTTAATTCTTAAAACTCCCTAAAATCCATGGATGGACTTCCAGAGATTAATGTGTTCCTAGATACTATGCACATGACTTGTTACTGTTACAGCATTTTCTTTCCTCTTCTAGAAAGAGGTAACTTTTTTCATATGATCAACGGAATCTTTGACTTCCAATTTTGTAAGGAACTATTGCCTTGCATGCAACAGTAGTGTAGTGGAGAGAAAAGAAAACTATTATCCCCAAAGCAACGAGGTTAAAGTCCTGTCTGATCTGCTTCCTAGCTTTGTGACTTCAAACAAATTGCCTGCACTCGCTGAGCCTCAGAGTCACCCTCTGTACAGTGAGGCTGAAAGCCCTCCATAGCAGACGTGAGGATTCACTGAGGGTCGACCATGAACGTGCCTAGCCTATAGCTGTGAGAGCACATACAACTCTTGTATTCAGATTTTATTCTAAGTAGACAAACTATAGATAGAGTGCCCATTTATTTGACTTAAAAGGAAATAAATGTAAATTCAAGTGTTTTTCCAGGATCGACAAGCAGGATACCAGGCCCATCCTGGCATTCTGGGCCTTGCTTAGAGTCCTAAGGAGGACAGAATACACCTGGATTGCCATGTAAGTCTGGGGAGGGGTGAGGAAGAGGTACGGTTTGCTACCATTCTCTCATTCAAAGCTCACCAAATGGAGGCAGGGAAAAGGTGAGGAGAGCGACTGCAGGTGGGATAAGGTAGCAGTTGAGCAGAAAAACAACAAAGCTCCCACCAGGACCGGCAGTCTTGAGACAAAACAAATCCCTTTTATTGATTTAAAGTAATAATTCCTCGCAATGACCCTATGGAGTCAGCTGGCTCAGAACTGTCTCCACTTCTCCAAGAAGAAGCTGAATCTCGGAATGATGAGATACTGTGCCCACAGATGCACAGACAGTTACATCTGAGCGCAGACACCAGGTCCACCATTTGCTCCTGTGTGCTTCCTTTTGCATGATACCACTTCCTGCTCCGAGAAGACGGAGGGAGGATGGGAAATCTGTGACTGTCAGGTCGTCATAGGTCCATTAGCAATTACAGGCTGGACTGACTCTGTACAGCAATGATTCTCAACTTTTTCTGTTCAACCAAGAATGGGTGATGTTCAGTCTCCCATAAATGTACATGAGCTTATAGAGATTTTCTCTAATTGCTATTATCCCACCACTTTTTTCCTTTCTCTTCCACTCAGTAAAGCACATAACTAATTTTATTAAAGAAATAACATCGGGTTCTTTGTCTTCCTTTTGTTGAGTTGTATGAGCACTCTATATATTTTGGAACTTAACCCCTTATCTGATGCATCATTGGCAATTATGGTCTCCCATATATTGGGATCCCTTTCCATTTTGATGGTTGTTTCTTTTACTGTGCAGAATCTTTTAAGTTTGATGTAGGGCAGAGGACCTAAATAGAAACCTCTCTAAAAAGGACATACAAATGGCCAAAAGACATATGAAGAAATGCTCAACATCACTAATCATCAGAGAGATGCAAATTGAAACAACTATGAGGTATCACTTCACAACTGTCAGAATGGCCACCATCAACAAATCATCAAACAACAAGTGTTGGCGAGGGTGTGGAGAAAAGGGGACTCTAGTACACTGCTGGTAGAAATGCAGACTAGTGCAGCCACTGTGGAAAACAATATGGTGTTACCTCAAAAAGTTAAAAATGGAACTGCCATTTGACCCAGTGATCCCACTTCTAGGAATATACCCTAAGAAACCTGAAACATCAATCAGAAAGAATATATGTACCCCTGTGTTCATAGCAGCACTATTTATAATAGCTAGGATCTGGAAACAGCCCAAATGTTCATCAGTAGATGAGTGGATTAAAAAGCTGTGGTACATGTACACAATGGAATACCATGCAGCTGTAAGAAAGAAAGATCTCTTATCTTTTGAGATGGCATGAAAGGACCTGGAGAATATTATGCTAAGTGAAACAAGCCAAGCAGAGAAAGACAAATATCACATGATCTCACTTATTTGTGGAATATAATGAATTAAAGAAACTGCTGAACAAAATTAACCCAGAGAGATAGAGGTGGGGTACAGGCTGACAAGCCTCAGAGGAGGGGGGCATTTGTGGGAGAAGAGATAAACCACAGAACTTACATGCATGTATGCATGACCAATGAACATAGACAACAAAGCTGGGGATGGGGCGGGGGAAAAGGGGTGGAGGGTGTCAATGGGGGAAAATGAGAAACATATGTAACAAAAACAAATTAATAAGTAAAAAATTAATTAATTAATTAAAAAATAAATAAAAATAAATTAAAAAAAGAAATAACATCAAATCTCTTCTATTTTCTATAACGATGAAGATAACAAAATATGAATTTTGAACTGCTATGATTAGTCAAAGGGTTGCGGATCACCTCAAATTGCTATCGGTTCACTGCTGTGGGGAACATTGTAGTCAAGAGCCTCTACACTGTAAGATATGATGGTGCAACTTGGATACTTACAGGTTTTCATGACAGAGCATGCACGGATTGTTGTATGTCTGGCCATCATCACCACAGACAGGCTGTAAATTCTTTGGGCAAAGGTAACCCATCTTGGGCAATACTCTGTAGTGTTTGCACATCTCAGAATCCTGAACAAGCAAAACATAAATCAGATTTGCTCAATGGCACTCAAGAGGAATGATCTGGGGAAAGTCCCTTTGATTTCCTCCATCATATTTGAATAAATGACTAGTAAAGAAACTGTCACATAGGTCAAACGAACTCACATATTTATTTCACACCATTATTAGGTAGATTGAACCCCCCAGATTTGGCTTCTTTATACTAGGGGAGATAAGTAGCTAAACCAAGAAACAAGGAAGAAAACCACAATAAGAAAGATAAAACTCCACATGATATTGGGTACAGTTGAACGAGACATGCCCATAGGAAGAAGACTAGGATGGTATTCATGTAAAAAAATATATTTTTTTCTTAAAAGAAGGCACTTGTTATGTGCAATCTAGAAGGAAAACACTCAGAGGTAAATACTAAATAACTGCATGGGCTGTAGAGTCCCAGCTCTACCGAACTTAAGGGATGATTTACCGAACTTCACTAAGCCTTAGTTTCTCATCTGAGAAGCATGAATAATAATAGCTCTTGACTCATAGTGGTGTCTTAGGGGATCAAATCTGATCATGCACTTGAATGCATACATAACACAGTGTTTGGCACACACTAAGGGCTCAGTATATGTTAATTTTCAACATGTGTCCCAAGATTAAAAAATATTTTTCATGTAGAAGAGGAAACGTTTTGTTATTTGTAGTCTTTTAGAAGTGTGATTTAACTAATAACTTTATTAATTCAAGAAAAATAGGACCAAAGAGAAAATCAATAAACTTAAGAAATAGAATTATAGAAGAATTAAATACAATTGTGTCAGCAATTACATTAAATAATAGTAAGACTAGTACTCTAGTTAAAGAACAGAGATTATCTGACTAGAAAAACAAAAAGATTCAACTATATAATGTCTATAAGAAGCATATTTTAAATATATCTTTGTATTTCAACCAGTAGGTTGAAAGCAAAAGAATGGAAAATATATGCATGCAAACATTCATATATAAAAGCTAGATAGATATCTATATTAATATCACATGAAGTAGAATTTAGGACAAAAAGTATTAGCAGAGATAATGGAGTTCTAATAATAAAATAATAGATAAACTGATTGACTGAAAGTACAAATAGGCAACTTTGCAAACATAAATGGAAGTAGTAACATACTTCTTTCAGTAATTGACAGCACAGAAAAAAATAACACAAGATATAGAATATCTGAAAAACAAAATTACCCAGTTTGACTTAAATTATATTTATAGACTTCTATATCCAACAATTGCAGGCTACACATTCTTTTCAAGTACACATGACATTGTTATCAAACAGACCTTATTGGGGGGCAATTAAGCAAGTGTCAATAAATTTTAAAGAATTAAAGTAATAAAATGTAAGTTTTATGATCACAGTGGGATAATACTGGTGATAAATATGACAGTGATAAGGTTCCTAGATATTCAGAAATAAAGCAACACACTTTTAAATAACTCATGGCTCGAAGTAATATAGAAATGCTTTGAACTAAATGATTATGAAAGTATATATTATCAAATTTTATCAGTTATAACTAAGTACATAATTATAAAATAATAAAGTTTTAAAGTCAATGATCTAAACTTCCATCTCAAGAAGCTAGTAAATAATAAACAAATTAAGATCAAAGAAAACAGAAAAAAACTAAATAATCAAGAACAGTAATTTATGAAATAGAAAACAGAACAAAGTCAAATGTTGATTGTTTGAAAAGATTAATACATTAATAAGCCATTTGCAAAATTGACAAAAAGGCAAGAAATACACATTACCAATATTAAATATAAAAGGAGTGTCACAATATGAATATAGATATTAAAAGAATAATGTGGGAATGTTATAAATAATTAAATGCCAATAAATATGACAACAGATGAAATTAACAAATTCCTTAAAAACCTCTTTCTGAAACAGATACAGAGAAGAAATAGAAAATTTAATAGTATTGAATCTGTTGACGTTCATTTCAGAGACATAAGAAGTATTTGTTTCCTAGTTTGTTTTTGATAAATAATCCAAACATCTAAATGGAATGCATTTTAGATGACAGTGAGTTCCCTATCCATTAAGATACTGAAGGAAAATTGAGACAACCTTTTATGAGTCACTGACAAAGGCAGAACTAAACCATGTATATTTTTAGTATTTTTTTAAGTATCTGCTACTACAAGGTTTAAAATTACTAAGATAAAACATCACAAAGAGGCAACAAGGACAGATGCTTCTCTTTTCCTTACATAGTGTATCAACTAGGAACAAATTCCGACTTCACCTTCAGAACAGACCAGGATCCAGCCACCTCTCCTGACCTCACCATTACCACCTGCATACACTAACACCATCTCTTCTGTGGATTGCTGCTATGACTAATAAGCTGTCTAGCTTTCACTCTTGCCTACCTGCAGTGTATTCTTAAAACATAAATCAGATCACATCACCCCCCTTCTTAAAATTTTCATTCAGAAGAATAGCTACCATGTTAAAAATGCTCTGCAAAATCCAATATGGCATGGCCTCCTGTTACTTTAATGACTCCCTCCCCTACAGTGTTCTCTGAGGTCACTCTATTTCAACTGCACTTGACTTTTTGCTCTCCTTGGGGCTTTGTGGTTCCTCTTCTTGGAATGTTCCCCCCTCACTCACACACATGAAATCAATTCCTTTAGGTCCTGGTGCAAATGTCCCCTTCCCAGAGAGCTCTTTCCTGTACAGCACACTTCAAATTGTATCCCAGAATTTTATTTCCCCCTTGACAACTCTATTTTACTTACTCACATCACCTATTATCTATGTTCTTCCAAAACAAACTCCATGAGTCTAGAGAGTACTGTCTGTTTTACTTACAAATATTGTTCTCATATACATAAATAATGCTTGGAAAATAATAGGTGCTCAATAAATATCTGTAGAATGAATAAATAGATGATTATATAGATAAGAAAACAGATAATAAATGTGGTTCTCTTCTCCAAGAGAAAGTTCAGCTAAAACCCAGATTATACATTAAGAGGAAGAGCAATGGGGTTTCTGGTCTCCCAGGCGGTGTCTTATTTCTTGACCTGGGTGCTAATATCACAGGCGTAATCACGTATGATATGTGCACTTTTTCTGTATGACTATTATACTTCAGTAAAATGCCTTTTTGAAGAACAGATTTTATTACTCACAATAGCCCAGATATGGAAAAAAACCTGTGTCCATCAATGGATAAATAGATAAAAAAGATATAGTATATGTATGTGTGTAAAATAAAATATCTAAGGGGTCTTCATTTATGAGAAAGAAGGACATCCTGTCATTAAGACAACTTGGATGAATGTTGAGGGTATTACGCTAAGTGAAATAAGTTGGACAAAGAAAGACAAATACTGTATGTTATCACTTACATGGGGAATCCAAAAAGGGCAAATGTCTAGAAACAGAGAGTAGATTGGTGGCAACCAAAGGATAGGATTGAAGGAAGCGGGCAGGTGTTGGTCAAGGGTACAAACTTATAAGATCAATAACTTCTGGTGATCTAATATACAGCAGGGTGAGTATAGCTAATAATACTGTATTACATACTTGAAAATTGCTAAGTGAGTAAATCTTAAATGTTTTTCCTTGAAAAAAGAAATGGTAATTATGTGAAGTGATGAAAAGTGTCAGCTAATGCTATGGTGATAATCATTCTGCAAAATACAGGTGTGTCAAATTAACACATTATACATTTAAATTTACACAATATTGTGTGCCACATCTCAGTAAAGCTGAGAAAAAAAAGAATAGTTTTTGCAAATAGCTCTTCTCCATGCTTAGGGGTTTCTAATGTTCAGCCAATTTAGTAGAAATAGGTACTCAGAATTTATTTCAGTAGTACAACTCATCTATTATCCTACTTGAAAAGTTTGATTCATTTCTCTTTCTTTTCTGACTAGGTGCTAAAATCTCCCCTTTAGGGCCCAATTTGAGATTCTACTTCATGCTCTCATATCCCATTTCTTCCTGTCTGCTCCTGACCTTGGTAAAGTTCTAAAAAAGGCATTTGATTAGGCTCATGTATACTAAGGTGTACATTACTGATGGCCATCAGGCTATATTTCAAATAAAATGTTTTAACTACTGTGAATAACTGATTGGTGGGAATTTCACAAGTGTGAACGTGCTCAGCATAGCACTCCAGATGACTGGGAAAAGGATTTGGTTTGCAGAGGGGGAGTGAGGGGAATCTGGATCAGCAATCTTTTCGGTCTGCTGCAGTTAGAGAATTGAGGCTCCTACCAACTTATCTGACCACATGGGAGATAAACCATGTTCATTACACATCCACTATTTAAAATGTCAAAAATGTACTAAATTGGTTTGGAGTGGGACTAGTAATCTCAAAGAGCACAGAAAAAAGCACTGGTGAGCAATCCTAGGACTCTCACCAGACACAATCTACATTGAATCTGGATCTGAGGCTATACTGAATCAGCCCTTCCCAGGCCTTTCCATGGAAATGAGATTTATAAGATCCAGTGGCAACACCACTCCTCAATAAGCAAATTAAGTGAATAAGTAGCTTTTCAGAAAGTAATTCTTACCAGGACAGAACTGAAGGAATCTGGGCTGCCTTTCCCTTCGGAAGATTTAATTTGGGATGGAATTTCTTGAAGGGTTGCCCTTTCCAAAGCTTCTTTTTGACTAAAGAAGAAAATAAAAAGTAATATGAAGATATACACTCAAATATTAGCTCCCATCACTTCCCGTGGGAAGTTAAGTAATTCTAATGAAATATGATGGAAGCACAGAACAGAGAGGGTGACCAGGGTGATATGTTAAGGAAAGCACACGGCTGGGCTCTGGTTTAGAGCTCTTATCACATAATCGATGTGTGACTTCAGACAAGTGGCTTAAATTCCTTGAGCTTAGATTTTCTAGAATATAAAAAAAGGGTAGTATTGGTAATTCCTTCCTCAAAGAACATTTTATGAGGAGCTAAATGAATACTGATGATGGTGATGATGACTGTGATTACTGTCATCATTATCTATCATGCCCATTGGTCACCAAATATGGCTCTTCATCAGAATAACCTAAAAACCCTTTCTCAAAAACAATTTCCTTAGCCCTGAAGATGGACTTCATATATTTTAGGGCAAAATATCTGTATTTGTTTTTTTAAATAAAAAGACTTCTCTGTTTAGTCTGATCTAGTTGTGGAACAAAACTCTTGTAACTATGATCCTGAGAACTAAAAAAAAAAATTTTAAGTGAAAATTAGTAAATGTCATGGTTAGATCTTACATCTGGATTTCCTGTCTCCAAATCTAAGCATTCTTCCTCCTACATCAGATGCTGTCATGTTAAGGTCCTTGAATCTAAAAACTTATTTTTGCCCTGGCTGGTTGGTTGTGCGTTGTCCTGTGCACCAAAAGTTTGCAGGTTCAATTCCCAGTCAGGGTGCATGTTGGAGTTTTGGGCTCAATCCCTGGTGGTGGTGGTGGGGGGCATGCAAGAGGCAACCAATTCTCTCCCTCTCCCTCCAAAAAGCAATAAAATATATAAAAATTAAATAAGTAAACAAACACAAGCCTGTTTTAAGGACCCCATGGTTCATGACCCCACATTTATTTAAACAGCAGTTTCTACAAAGGCAGTTCCCTCCCACACCGACAGGGCCCAAGATTCTCTTACTCACAAGATAGCTCTACACAAGAAGCACTTGTTTTTATAAAACTTCCCATCAGCACCACGCACAGGGTCATACTCCCGAGTGCACAGGAGCTCGCCAGTCCTCAGGTGTCCTCGAAAGTGAGCGCACTCGTCCTGGAAAGTGAGAAAGAAGTGAGCATGGTTGTTCCCTTCTCCTCTTGGTGGTTTTCTCAAACTTGGTCTGAGGTCCTCTCTGGGCTCTAGGCTCAGACTCACTGCACTGATCCTGGCAATGGAGGCCACGGAATGGCCAGACTGCCCAGGCTTTCCACTCTCCGTTCCTTTCTGAACCTCTCTGCACTGCTCCTGCAAATGCAAGGAAACACAAAACAACGCTTGAGAGACCTTCTGGTCTCCCCCGCTCTTTCCTTCATCCTTCCTAGCCCCCATTTTCCACATGAGGTGCGCCCTCGTCCGAAGGACATTCTCACAGGAATCTAACTCTACAAATGGGATTGCTCGTCACTGTTAAAGGACCGAATGACGATGTCTTCTTCGCCGTCTTGGAAAGCAAACTGAAAAGGCAGCATCATGCATGCACACTACTGATTTGTTGATGCTGGGAAAATCATCTGGAGAAAACAGAAAGAAGACATCAAGGAGAGAAGCGAAAGGGGAGGCTTTGAGATACGTGTATATTACCTGACTTGTTAAATCATTGTCCACAAGCCACCTGAAGCCTCCTTGGGCGTTTAGGGTCAGAGACAAGCATGCAGGGGAAATGGTAAAGGATTTTTCCCTCTATTTTTCAACCCACATTTCTCCCAAGACAAGAGACTAAAGCCATAATCGACACAGTGCTGGCAAATACTCTACAAAATTGAGAAAAACATGAAATCTTCAATCCAGGAAAAAAAAAAAATCTTATTACACCCAAAGTGACGATACAGGCAAAATCAGTTTTCTTTGTAGTAAAAGATTAGCATCTTCATTATCCCAAAACTAGAGTAGAATTCCAAATGTGAGGAGGAAAAGTACAACAGTTTTATATCTTTTAAGAAATAACCTTTTTATCATTTGAAGGCCTGTCGTGTGATCTTTCTTGTTCGTTCTGTTTTCTATCACTAGCTTCTCGGTTACTGCAGAATAAAAAAAAGAGAGAGTTTTTTCAGGGTTATTACTGAAATTTTTTTTAACCCAAGTTTTCTCCTGTTTTAAACATTAACAAATCTAACACTGTATTCTCATATTAAAAAAAAAATCTAGCCCTGGTTGGTTTGGCTCAGCGGTTAGAGCGTCGGCCTGCGGTCCAGAGAGACCCGGGTTCGGTTCCTGCTAAGGGCACGTACCTCGGTTGCAGTTTGTCCCCGGCCCTGGTGGGTTGTGCGGGTGGCAGCCACTCGATGTGTTCCTTTCGCATCAATGTTTCTCTCTTTCTTTCTCTCTCTCTCTCTCTCTCCTGCTCTCTCTCCCTCTCCCACTCTATCTGAACAAAAAATGAAAAAATGTCCTCGGGTGAGGATTAAAAAAAAATCTAAAATACCATTTTTTACTAATGACTTCTGCTTGTTGGAATTTTCATTATTTGTGGCAATGTTATCAACTCTCCTCAATTCAATTACTATACTGCCATTATATTTTCCCCTAGTAGGATCTATTTATGGGTTTCATACAGAGAGTTGCTCTGTTTCTTCGTTTTATTTTTCTTAGTAAAGTACAACTAAACTCAGCATTTATTACTCATTATATAGTTTTAGTGCTTTAAAGTTTATAAACATTTAAAAATATCATCTCCTCAAATCCCTATAAAACTTTATTGTGAAATTATCATCCCCTTTACAGACAGGAGGAGCCGGGGCTCTGCAGAGGGAACTGGCCTGTCCCCCGTTACTTAGCTGGTGAGCTTCCTCTTTGAAAGTCAATCATTTGACCATGGTCCAATAGCTCTCCCCCCATCCCACACGCTCCAGGTATAGTTATACTGCTCAACATCAAAATAAAATGTTTTGTGAAAGTGCCCTGGAAACTATTGTCTTCTTCCCAGGTGAGGAGCTATTGGTATATTTGTTATAGGTGAGGCCAAGCGCCTGAAGGTTTAAATTGAGGGGAACTGTTTTTTGGGCCAACAGGCACACCATATCAAACAGATCAGTCAACCTCCTCACGTACAAGATGCTCTGACACATCGCACACTTGTTGACGTGCATCTTCCCGTCGGGTCCGCGAACGGGGTCGTTTTCTCGGGTGCAGATGAGCTTTCCGTCTCTCACCATGCTCCGGAATTCTTGACACTGATCCTGCCCGCGGAGCAAAGCGAGATGTTGATGTGAGAGTCTGATCTTAAGGACTGAAAACAGGACTGGTCGGTAAGATCTAAACTCAAATGCTTGAGGTGGGGGGGAGGGGAAATCTAGAGAAAAGTGAAGTTGTACGGATGGAATGTGTTTTAAAGGCACTGTGTTCAGTATATGCTCAGGAAGTTAGAATGCTCCCCATGGCACCTCTCTCAAAATACCTGTCTTGCCCCAATGGAATGTACCACTTAAGGCAGCCCATTCCATTTTTGTACAGTTTTCTATTATGCTGAGCCCCAAACCCATCTCTCTACAATTGTTCCCATTACTCCATACAGAAAAAAACCTGGAATGAACTAGAAGATGCTCTTTGGGCAAAACATACTTATATGTGAACTTTTAGCTTAGTTCCTTAATAATAATAATAGTAATAATAATAATAATAATAATAATAAACATTTTAAAAACAAAATCTGTATTATATGCCAGGCACTTTGATGTGCCCTTAGTTGTCATAACAACTCTACAAGATAAACATACATTTTCCCCCACTTACAGATGAGAAAAATAAAGCTTGGAGAGATTAAGTAACTCAAGTCAATGTTGGGTTTGTGATCTGAAACCTGCTCACAACCAGGCTATTCTCCTTTCCTTCATTGCTTTTACCTGGCAGAGAATAAAACTCCTATACATTTGTGAGAAGATGGAGCATTTTTGTTCATGGAAAAAATAAGAACCTTAAAGAGAAGCCAATGGAACAGAGTCCATAGGATCTGGCCTCTGTTGAAAGCTTTGGACATCTACAGAAATTTGTCTTGAACTTCCATTAAGCCAAAAGAGCCAAAGTAGAAATGTGGGAAGATGACTTTAAAAAATACTGCTAATGCCCAGCCGGTGTGGCCCAATGGTTGAGTGTTGACACATGCACCAAGAGGTCACTGGTTCAATTCCTGGTCAGGGCACATGCCCAGGTTGTGGGCCCAGTCCCCAGTGGGGGGAATGCAGGAGGCGGCCAATCGATGTTCTCTCTTGTCGGTGTTTCTCTTTCTCTCTCCATTTCTCTTCCTCTCTCTCCCTCTAAAATATCAATAAAGAAAAAAAATACTGCTAGTAATTTAGATTAGTTATCCTTCTTTCTTTCAATTGTGATGCCCATAAACAACTCTAGACCTACTTTTTCTGAGCATTTAAATACTTCTCTGGAATTTGATATCTGATTAACATATTAAAGTCTCACAGCTCTCACACTTTTAGAATTACTAGAATGATTTCCTTTTCCAGGTGCTCAACAATGCCAATACATACATGTTTGCAATAGCACCCATTTTCCTGCAGAGCAGCCTTTGCTTCAAGAGTGCAGTCTCTGGATCTTCTATTTATTATCTGTCTATAGTTAATGTCTCTGAGTTTTTCTGAACTATAAAATTGGAACAGTATTACCCTCTACATAGATTTGGGGGAGAAGGGGTTACATATTATGATGCAAATACTCTGTAAATCTTATTTCACTTTTCATGAAGAGAAAAGACCACAGCTCCCTTTTTGCCACATACACACATGATATCTGGACATTCTCTATATATTCATATAGAGAGAGCTTTTTTTTTTTTTTTTATTTGCCATTCTTCAAGGACATAATAAATAATGAAAAAGTTGACCAAGATCACAAATAGAATAAATGGCCAGTAGATAGCATTTGAAGTTGTACAATAAAGCCTTGTCACAAAACCCTTCATCTACCAAAATGCATTACAGATATCCTCAACATATTTTTTAAATGATAATTACTTATTAATGTTTCATTTTGTTTAGTCAGCATAGACTTAATGAAGTGTTGCCTCCTTAGTGGGATAGTCTTCCTGGGGAAACTTCAGTATCCTACCCCTCTAATTGGAGCTCATAGATGGATCAGAAGAGACTATGCTGTGCCACAGTCCCTGTGTTGGTATTGTCAAGCATTCAACATCATGTGTGAAAGCCCAAAATTGAACACAAGATGGCACTGTAAGGCCAAGTCAAGAATTCATCATCATGAGCTCCAAGCATTTGATGCTTGCTTTCTTGTTTGTAATTTTAGTATCTATTTGCTTGGTTATTTTGTTTTTGTTTTAAAAGTTCAGAAAAGAAATTCACTGGATAACAACACTAATTTACAATGGTCACTGGTCCTACACATGTGTGGAAATTGCATCTGAGTTGCTCGTAGGGCATCAATTAGCATGTTATTTCTTTGCAAGGTCTGGTCCTGTCTTGTTTACCATCATTATATCCATAATGACTGCAACAGAGTAGGCATTTCATGAACATTTGTTGGATAAATTCACCATACCCACAACCATCCAAATTTACATATCAATGTATAGTACCTGGTTTTCATTACTCGTTTGCCCTTTGTTTCGCTTCTCTTCATCCTCTTTCTTCTTTCTTTCAGCTGCTTCCCTTTCCCTGGAAGCAAAGAACCGGAAAGAAACATTTCTACCAAAGTGAACAAACATCTCATTGATCACTAGATCTGTCTTAAAAAAACATGTCATTTTCTCAAACTGGTGAGAAATGATCATTATATATTTAAGACACAATTAAAGACCCATTTTTGAAAAATACTCACAGTTTTTCCTTACACATAACACACTTATTGCCATGCATCTTGCCATCTGCATCACGGACAGGGTCACTTTCTCGGGTGCAGATAAGTTGTCCGTTTTTCATCCTGTCTCTAAACTCATCACACACATCCTGAAAAGAAGGCGAGCTTGCATTAGAAATGGCTGTTTCCACATAGTATTTGATCGGCTTGAAAAGGTGAAGACGTTGGTGGCTCTCTCTGGAGCAGGCCCACGCCTTTCCCTCTCCCCCAGGCATGTTCCCCTTGCCTCTCTCCATCTCAGAGTCCCAAGGGCCTCTCTCTCGCCTCTGTAACCTGTTCCTTGAGCCCACGCAGCTCAGTTGGCTCACTCCTTCCCTGGCTTAATTCTTCTACCTCTGTGACTTTCTAAATAAACTTTTGCTTGTATTTTAAAAAGGAGAAGGAGAAGGAGGAGAAGGAATAGGAGGAGGCGGAGGAGGAGGAGGAGGAAGAGAACTAGGAGGAGGAGGAGAAGGAGGAGGTGGAGGAGGAGAAGAACTGAAGATTTTGACTCGAGAGTTAGGTAGCCACTTAACCTTGCTATGGGAGGAAGTATAATGGCCCATGAAGACTGCCATAGCCTAATTCCCAGAACCTGTAAGCATGTTGGCTTACACAGTAAGAAGGAAATAAGATCAAAGGTGGACTTAAGGTTGCTGCTCGGCTGACTGATCTTAAAATGGAGAGCTTATTCTGCATTACCTGGATGGGCCCAATGAGTGACACAAGGGAGGAAGAAGAATCAGTGTCAGAGTTCTATGGCGTGAAAAAGATTCAACTGGCCATTGCTGATTTTCGATGGCCACAAGCCAAGGAATGCAGGCCGTCCGTAGAAGTTAGACGGGATGAAGAAACAGATCTTCCCCCAGAGCCTCCACAAAGAAATGCAGCCCTGCTCACACCTTGTTTTGAATGCAATGAGACCCACTTAGGACATCTGAAGTCCAGATATACATGAGCATAAATTGGTGTTGTTTTAAGCCACTGTGGGTAGTAATTTGCTACAGCAGCAGAACCTCCTTTTACCCGTCTATAAAATAATTTTTTAAAATGTATTTTACTAGGCTGTGGAGAGAATTCAATAAACTACTATTTATAAAAGTGCTTTGTAAAGTGTAATACTGAAAGACTCCCACTTGGAGTTAAATTTCCACACTGAACAAGTTCCCAGTGAGTTTTACATTTATGATGGCTTCTGATCTAAGGGCAACATGTTGGTTGGCAACATTGACTCTCTCTTTCCATATTTTTGACAGCCAAGTGTTGACTTACAGAAAGACCATTCTTGCCAAAACCTAATGACTCACCTTTGATGCTGATTCAGTCCTATTTGCTCTATAGCCAGTATACCCATTGTTTCCACTTGCTTGTCTTTCCCTAGAAGAGAAGAGAGCCAGTAGTCATCTTGTGAACATGTACCCAGGTTTCAAAGGACCCTTGGACTTGATGTACCCTAAACCTGTTCCTCAGAGAGAATGTCTCTGCACATTCCATGAGGGACAGCCAGCTCGGTTATTCAGAAGCTCTCTCATCACAGGTAGATATTCAAGGCAGATCAACTCAGGCAATTTCAAGGTCTCCTTTATTTGTGTCTAAGTGTATCTTCCTATAACTTTTATGCTTTAGTCTTATTGCACATTCTCAGGACAACACAGAATAAACCTGTTGAGTCTGTCACATCTTCCTGACATTAATCCTTTGGATACTTAAAACAAGTTTCAGGTCTCCAAGTCCAGCGCCCTCAGTTACTTCACCTTTTCTTCCTAAGTTGCAGTTTTTAATTCCCCACTGACTCATCATTCTACCTCCTTGATTTGTAGGTTAACCTTTTATAATATTATTTCTTAAATTATGGAGCCCAAGGTAGAAATATGATCGAGAAAGTACCTCAGGATCATGATTTTTTTAACCTCTTACCATGTCTTGAGGGGGAAGCAAGAAAAAGATATAACGTTTGGGAATTAACAGAAAGGATAGTTTTCATGGAGGGAGCTCTTAATCAATGAGAACTAGCCATGCATTCAGGAAGACGATGTGATGTTTCAGAAATGCCTGTTGAGAGAGGTACTCACAGGATCTCTTTACACATGGAGCACTTGTTGTTGTACATTTTGCCACTGGCATCCCGTACGGGATCGCTCTCCCGGGTACAGCTGAGTTTTCCATTTTTCATATTTCCCAGAAACTCAGCACACTGGTCCTGAAAAGAGAGAAGAGAGCACGCCTTCTGGATTACTTGGTCTGTTATTAAATTTGGTGAATTATTTATTTATTTATTTACTTATTTATTTATTTTTATATCCTCCCCTGAGGACATCTTTGCAGTCATCTTCAGATAGAGCAGGACGAAGAGAGGGAGAAAGAGCAAGAGAGAAACATTGATGTGAGAGAGACACATCAAGTGGTCGCCACCCACATGACCCCAACTGGGACCGGGAACAAACTGCAACTGAGGTACGCACCCTGAGTGGGAACTGAACCTGGGACTCTCTGGTCTGCCTGGCCAAACTGGCCATGGCTGGTGAACAATTTGAGTAAGGAAAGTTCTTGTCTACCTTCTCTTACATGGAATATAACCTCTAGGATTGCTGTCTACAGGGAAAAGGGGGATGGAATCACCCATATTCTAAGAGGTCAGTTGTCAAGCCTAATGATACTGCTTTTCATGTTCCACAGAGGGAAAGGACAAAGCTGGCTGAAATTCATAGCATAGATCAAGGGTCAGCCAACTATATAACCTACAGGACTAATCTGTCCTGTTGCCTGATCTTACATAGACAGGTTTATATATAAAATGTGAAACACCCTCATTCATCCAGTCTAGATATTATTTATGGCTTCTTTCCCTCAACAATGTTAACACTGAATGGTTGTAACAGAGACCCCCATAACCCACAATGCCTAAAATATTTGCTATCTGGACTTAAAAAAAAATTGCTGACTTCTGTTGTAGATAGAAAGGAGAAAGAAATGCTGGAAGAAAGCCTGCAAAACGTCTATTAGCTTGAGCAAATTATGGAGAAGATAGGTCCTACCAGGTCTATTACTGGAGAATGAGAACTCAGCCTTCTAAATGAGAAAAGGTGGAAAAACAAAAGGGCAGAATTTGTCAAGGGCAAATATCGGGCCTGTGTCAGGTCTGGAAGTGAGCAGATGGTCTTGACATCTCCAGGTTGTAAGAAGAGCAATAGGGTCACTGGAAGCTTGTGAAATTGTGTTCACACATTCAAGGCATGGGCTTACACGCAACATTGTCATGCTGACACTTCAGAATAGCTCAGGAAATATGCTGAACACTTGCCTATGTTGTTTTGTGGTATCCCTCTAACAGTACTGCTCCATCAGGGACACCAGAGTTCAGTGAGCTGAAGTAACTTAGCTAGTGCTTCCCAAGTCCTAAGTGGAAGGGGCAGAGTCATACCCTGAATGATCTGACCCTAAAACCTATGCTCTTTCACTATATTATGCTGCTTTGGATCAACAGAAAATATATCTTTCCCTGGCCAGTTTGGCTCAGTGGTTGGAGTGTTGGCCTGCGGACCAGAGAGTCCTGGGTTCAGTTCCCGCTGGGGCATGTACAGAAAGAAAGAAAGAAAAGAAAGAAAGAAAGAAAGAAAAGGAAGGAAGGAAGGAAGGAAGGAAGGAAGGAAGGAAGGAAGGAAGGAAGGAAGGAAGGAAGGAAGGAAGGAAATATAAGAAAATATACCTCAACAAAGTGACTCCATTCAGGGAAAGAGAGAATAATAAAGGAAAATGAAGAACATGACGCTGATGTGAGACATCTCCACATTTATACCTCTTCCTCTCCTGTGATTGATTATTGACATGAGAGCTAGACCATAGAGAGAGAAGTCAGGAGACTGGGACAAGGTTATCATGTTAATTATTCCAGGTTTAAAGAAGTCAAAATGAGCCCTTAAGAGACTGAACTTGCTGAGGTATCACCCTACAGTTTTCATGGGACAATCCTCTATTCTTCCAAGGACACTTTTAAACTCAGCAAGACACACAGTCAGCTTGTACCACAGCCTGTGCCACGGTCCTACTTTCCATGAGTTGAGCCCTCTCTGGTCATGAAATTAGAGTTGCTCTCACCTGAGTTTGCCCTCCTTTACCACCGTCGGAACCATGATCTGTGGCAATCCTCTGCTTTTCTGCTTCTTTCCTCTTTCTTTCTTCATCTTCTTTCTGGCTGAAATTAGCAAGTGGGAGGGAGGGAAGAGTAGATTACAGAGAGTAGAGTCCATGGCCATGGGTTTTTCATCATTCGGCCCAATTAGGTTGGTCTAGAATTCACCAGCACTTATCGGCCATCTACTCTGCAGGCCCTCTTTGGAAATAAAATGATGCATTACGTGGAGCCCTTTGCCTGGAAGATCCCTCATGGCAGTAAAAGGAAACCAATATTTACAAATCACAGACAAGCCCAGGTGAGCTATCGATATTTCATAAAGGCTCACTGTGAATCTCCAGGTAGTTCTCTCGAACACCTCATATTTAAGAGGCTCCAAAATAAGTATCTTCTCTATCCAATGTGTTGTTCCTCCTCGATTCTCTACCCTTTGTGAAGAACAGAACACAGGAGTCCTCTCCAGCGCCTCCCTCTCCTTCAGCTCAGATAACTGTTGCCACGTAACACTGATTTCCCCTTCACAGTGCCTCCCGTGTTGGTCCACTCACCTTCTAACCTATTTTCCTGGCTCTAGTGACTCTATACTGGGTCATTGCAAACCCCTTCCACCACCTGGAGCATTCTTAATTTTGGTCCCTCTCTTTTCTTATTCTTTTAATGCCAACATATGAATCTTCCTAAAGTACCATAGTTACGGCACTGCCTCGTCTACCTAAATAAATTTTAGCTGCCTTCCATTCTACATGGAATTGACTTAAAAATCCTTTGACCTGCCATTCAAAGCTGGTGAACTGGCCAAGTTCTAACTAAATTTAAAAACTTGCATGTTACTGTACATAGGACAGTTTTCTTCATTTTAGATCTTTATCTATTCTGTTCCCCTCTCTTCCTCTCATTCCTTCCAGTGCTGTCCGCATGTTATCCAGATGCTATGGGTTTGTTCTATTCTTCCACAAAACTATTAACTTTCTCTTCCCTGAAGGAGCATAACATGTTTCCATTGTTTTCCATTTAGTGATGTGTTGTAGTAACTAATGCCCGTGTCTGATCTCTAGTGAGCTACATGATTTCTAGAAAGACTCATTCCTCTTTGTATAACCATTATCATGTGGTACACTGTAGATGTTTAGCAAATGACTGTTGAATACAAAATATTTTAGTTGTACTTCCAAAAATTGTGTAAGCTACTTTCCCTTTCCTGAAAATATGGTATTTTCAAAAATGTAGGTAGAGGAGTTAGATTGCTATTGAAATCGGCGTGTTTTCTTCCCAGTGGGGATTTCACTCACAGCAAAGGATTTGTAATCTGATCAGGAAAGGTGCTGTGATCTATTGATAGGCTCTACCCCAGAACTAATGGAGGATGTGGTAACAGTCTAATACACTGTCTATTTCTAGCATTACAAGTCTTAGCCTTTATAAAGATTCACCTAAAAATGCTTTACAGATAATTATTTCTTGCTTTCATATGTCAGGAAAGGACAACCACAGTATGCATTGTCTTCCCAGCTCTTGGCCTCCCCAGCTCTGTGGACCCACAGCAGGGCCTCATTTGTGCACTCACAAGACTGATTTACACATGGCACACTTGTTGCCATGGGTCTTGCCATCTGGGCCACGCACGGGATCATTTTCTCGTGTGCAGAAGAGATTTCCATTCTGCAAAAGGCTCCGGAATTCACTGCATGTGTCCTGAAAGGAGAAGAAGAGGCAAGGGCTTGGGTATTTTCTCGGAAATTACTTTGTTGGGTTCCTACTAAGTGCTTCCCTGGGGAAAAGAGAAAATAATCGAAGGTTTTTTTGTTGTTGTTGTTATTTTTTTTTTTTTCCTTTTTCTGGCAGTTGTTTTGCTCAATTCCTACTAAGCATCCGGGATTTAAAAGGTGGTTTAGTTTTCTTTTTCCTTGACATTTAGCCCCTGAATTCGGACTGAAATTGCAGTCACAAACAGGCAAGACAATTTTAATAAAGTGGGTTCTCTGAGGACTGGTCACATTTCTTACTCAGGGGTTTATCATCTATCTCTGTTATATTATTATTTTTTTTAAAAAACCCACTAAACACATCATAGACTAAAAACAATCAGGTTTAGACAGAACTTCAAAGTTTATCTGGTCCAACCATCCATACTATGTCTCAGTCCCCTAATCTTGCCCACCAAGAAGTCAGCTAACTTGCACAGGAACACCTGCAGTGATAAGGAGTCCATTACCCTCCATACAGTTCATTCCCAAATTACTATTTGATAGTTCCCACAAATTAGCCATAGTGCTATTTTTGGGGAATCTTAGAAAATAGTAAGTCCTGTAGGATCCCTACTCTTAGGGTTTGGTGTTTTTAAGATGTCATTACAGTTAGGATGAGCATGGCCCTCCAGACCAGTTAACAAAGTCAAAGTAGTTTACTTCCCTCAGAGAAACTGAGAACATTTTCCTTCTACCTGAGAGTTCTTCACATATTTGGAGAAAGCTTTCTTGTCCTCCTCCTGCAACTCCCTACGTTCTCTTCTAAGAGCTAAACATCCCAGACACTCACTCATTCTGTTTCAATCATCTGAACCATTTCTCATTCTGAATTCTTCCCCTCTCCTAAAGAATCTAACATAACATTCCCGGTACGTCTGGACACGCACTAACGTGGTGACAGCTATATCATACTATTAATTATAATTCCAATCTTCCATCAAAAGACCTCATCTTGGGGGTGGGGGAGGCTTCTCTGTGCCTCAGTTACCTCATCCATTGAATGAAAGTAATAATAGTATATTCCACTTGGTTAAAATAATAAAGGCAAATATGTATTAAGTAAAGTTGTATTAAGTACTCAATATACATCCTGGATTGTTATGAGAATAACGTGAGATAATACATGTATGTATATCTACGACTCACATCTAGGAAGTGCTCAATAAATGTTAGCTTCAGAATTATATGAGGAATGGATAGAGAATAAGCAAATAGCTTATGTTCATAGAGTTAACTACTGGTAGCAATTGGGATTGAATTTATGGGGTTCTCTTTGCTTGTTTTAGTTGTTGGTTTGCATCTTTTAGTTCATGTTGAAAGTCAATGAAGACAAAACTAACTTTTTCTCCTAGCTCTGCTTTGAGGTTCAATGCCAGGTTCCCTAACTGGTCAGAGTGAGTGAAAGAAATATGTTATGAGAGGACAGTTTGTTGGTCGTAGCTCATATGAAATCAGAAATAGTCTGATTCTGAAGAATTTTCTCTTGTAGATGTTGAAAAGTGAATCGTATGAGCTGATCATATTATTTTAAAATTCAGATTCATAATTGTGGGAAATAAAATTGTAAACAAACAAATTATGCAGAATTCTAAATGTGATGCTTTTGTTTAGAAATTATTTTTAATATCAATAGTTTTGTTTTGTTTTTCTGGAGGCAAAAAATGATCACAAACTTGGAAAAAATCTACCTGGAATCAGTCTTTTTGAAATAGAAAATTCTATTTGGGAAAGTTACTTTTCTATTTTTCCCCAAATTGCTGGCACCAGAAATATTTAAATCAAGAGCCCTGGCCGGTTTGGCTCAGTGGTTGGAGTGTCAGCCCGTGGACCTATGAGTCCCGGGTTTGATTCCTGTCAAGGGCACATACCTCAGTTGCAGTTTGTCCCCAGCCCTGGTTGGGGTCGTGCTGGATTTGTCCCTCTCATGCTGATGTTTCTCTCTCTCTCCTTTTCTTTTCCTCTCTCCCTCCCTCCCACTCTATCTAAAGATAAATAGAAAAATAACCTCAGGTGAGGACTAAAAAATAAAGGTAAATCAAGAAACACACCCAGTTTGATCAAATGTGTCCATTGAAACCTACATGGTATGTTAGAAATAATGCTTGATTGGTGTCAGCAAGTTGAGGTTTGAATTCTATCATTTCCACTTTTCATATGTGAAAACTTTGAGTTACGAAGATTTGGATTCTGATATCAATACTCTCATTACCTTTCTAAGCAAGTTTTTCTTTCCATTTTAAATTATCATTTAAATATACGGGAATGAAGAAATCAGGGGTTTGCAAGTAAAACTATGGACTGTAAGCAATCTGGCCCATCCCCTTTTTGTGTAAATAAAGTTTTGTTGGAACACATCCATGCCCATTTGCTTGAACTGCAACAGCAGACTGGAGTATTTGTGACAGAGACTGAACAGCCCAAACTTAAAATATCTACTATCTGGCCTTTTAAGACAAAATTTGTCAAACCCTGGACTAAATGAACCTCAAGATCTCTCCCACAGGTCTTCAGTAATTTCATGAATTATTTTTAAAGAGAAACTACAAAACCTCATCTTTTCATTGTGGTATGAACATCCAGGACAATTACCTTTTCAGTTTCTCTCTTAACCTGTGTTCTGGCTTCAGCTTTTTCTTTTTCTTTTGCTTCTTGCTGGCTGCAGAAGAGGGTAGAGGAGAATCATTCCTAGCACCCAGTACATGCTGTCTTAGAGAACACTCTCTAGGCAGGAATATTTCATTCCTTCCATACCTCAACCAACTTAGCTTGGGAGTAGGAAGGTAAATGCACTCAGTCCATATTATCCCTCTTGCTTATGGGGTTGCTTAAAGAAAAGACATGTCTCAGCGAGCCAGTAAGTACATTTTCACTATAATATTTCTTTTAGAAAATAAAGATGTCCTTCTCCCGAGAACGCAGCTAGGATACTTACAAATAGTGACTAGATGTTAGGAAATTTTCAATGAGTGAGGTCCAATGATTACATCTTTGGATTATTCATGACAGTATGTACACAGAGAACAGAATCCCAGTCCTTGTATACCTTTAGCTCTGGGGATTTTGCCATTAGCACGTGGTCTCCCCTTAAAGGTGATTCAAGTGCCTTTAAGAACACTGAGAACAAGCACTATAAAGAAATGTGCTAACTCTATGGTTTTATAATAGGAAATCCCCCACTCAATGCAGAGGTACCCTAAATTATCTAGCCCCTGGAGGAAAACTTCAGCATTCTCCCTGTTGCCTGCCCAGAAGATGATCTCTCCTCCACTCAGCAGTAGTAGTGGTTGAAGCTCTACTCACAAGAAGGCCTCACACATGGAGCAGGTGTTGCCATGGATTTTCCCATCTGGGCCCTGGATGGGGTCGTTCTCTCTGGTGCAGGGAAGTCGTCCATTCTTCACATAGTTACGGTATTCACTGCACAGCTCCTGCCAAGATTCAGGTAACTAAACATGAGAAAGTTTCCCTCACATTACCTCTTTGAAACTATCATATAACGCCCCGAAACATGATGGATGCATGGACAAGATGATGCAGGAGGTCGGTATTAGCCAAGATGCTTCTCAGAGACCCAGATCACACATTATGTGGAATATAAGGTAGTTGCTACATATCTTATTGGAAAACCTTCAATTCAATGCAAATATTATTCTCTGCTCAGCACTATGGGAGATAAAAGGAAGAATTTAATGTTCCTTTTGTAAAGGTATTTGTGCTAGGCAGGATGATAGCTTTCAACCCCAAATATGTATAAGCCCTAACACCCAGGTCTAATACCCAGGTCCTGCGAATATATCACCTCACAGGGCAAAAGGGACTTAGCAGATGTGATTAAAGATGCGGAGTCTGAGACAGGGAGATGATCCTGGATAGTTCTAGTGTGCCCAGTGTAATCAGAAGGTCAACCCTTAAAACTGGAAGACACAGATGGGTAGTGAGAGGGAGACAGGACTACACAAGAACAGTCAGAGATGTGGTGTTGTTGGCTTTGCAGCTGATGAAAAGTGTCCAAGATCCAAGGAACATGAATGGCCTCTAGAATCTAGAACATGCAAGCATTCAAACTGTCCCCTAGAGAGTCTAGAAAGGAGCACAGCCCTACCAACCCTTTCATTGAGCCCAGTGAGATGTGTGTCACACTTCTAACTTAAAGAACCGTGAAACAGTAAGTCTGTGTTGCTTGTAAGCTACTGAGTTTGTGGTACTTGGTTAGAGCAAGCATGAAAAACCAATACAGAATTTTTAGTGTCATTTGAAGAAATAAATACATAGAAGCATTTATAAGTTAGAATAAAACAAATGATATAATTGAGAAATAAAGAAAAATGATTGGCATAATAGATGACAAAGCTATTAAGTATATTGTACAAATGGAGAAAATCTTTAGGGAGTCTCTAATACTTATTCTGAACTATAAAAAATGGCTAGAATTTTGATAAGGGGAAGGGACATTCATGACAGAACATGAGCGTGACCACATAGAAGGTAAAGTTCATTGTATGTACAATATTGAGGACATCACTATGCGGGGGGAGGGGGGTTGTGCTGTTATACGTAGATAAGTTCCTTGAAATTTAATTTTAAAATAACAATAATGTACTTATTTTATTAATGAGTAAACTAAGACAAAAATGTTAACGTCTGACAACTGGCAGGGAGATAGATGGAGCTCATGACTTCTCTTCTATAAAATACAAATAATAATTCATACCTTGAATAATTACTAGAGATCAGTCATGGAATTGATAGACCACATTGCATATAGTAGCAATGACATACTTAATAGCCATCACCATTGTCATTATCATCGTCGTCATCATCATTATCATCATCATGTGAGATGTTACAGAAGCAAACCCAAGGCTAAAAGATGCTATTGAGTAACTTCTGCAAAATTTCACAGAGAATTATTTGGGAGGAAAACTTAGGTTTGTTTTTTGTGTTTTGTTTTTAACTAAACATCTTTATACAATGAGGTATGAGGCAAAATCTAACATCTGCCTCTATTGGTTTGCATCCAGAGAAGACAATCTGCACATATTTCTTTCCTGGGATAATCCAATCCATAAGTTCAGCAGAGGAAAGGGTGGTCGATCTCTTCTCAAATGCATAAGCAACTTGATCAAATTAGGTGTGAATAAACTGAACCAGGAAGAAGGGATCTTCTACATGAGGATCCCAATACATTTTCTGTTTGCAAAGTCACTACAGACCCGGGATTGGGACGAGGGAGCGAGGCCTCGCCTAATGAGAATGGAATAGGTAGGCGGCTCTGATGACCTGAAATAACTACCTGTACTGTTCCTCTCTTAACTTTCTCAGCTCCAGCTTTCACCGTTCCTTGCTTCGTATTATGTTTTCTCTGTTCTTCTTCAAGTTGACTGCAATTAAAAAGAAAAAGAAGAGGAAGATATAAGCGAAATATAATTCCTCATTCTCTTTGGTAACCTATTTTCAGAAGAAATGAGAATCTTCCAGACCTAAGGTCATATTTCGTCTTCAGTACAAACGTATGCAGTCCAAGAGGTGCTATCACTTTGTCCATTAATGCAGATAAATTCATTAGTTCCCAATCCCCTTTTAAAAATAAAACTAGCATGCTTTTTAAAAAATGTTTTTTTTATCAGTATGTGAAACTCGGATGGCCTTTTGCTCCCCGTCAGTGATTTCCACCAATAATCTAAAAAAAGCTTCAATTGCTTTTAAATGTTTTTAAAATTGTGAAACATTTCCTATTTAAATAACTACCACATCGATGACGGATGCAAGGCATGAAACTAAGTCAGACAATGGGCACATAATCCAAGTCAACCATGGGTCACTATAAAATAAAAAAAATTAATATTCTTTTAATGGCATTAATATTCAAGTTGAAATTCAAGTTTTAGAGTGCAATAATGATTCCAGCTCCAGAAGAGTCAACAACTGATATTTTGAAACTGATCATGAGCCTAAGATTCTGGCATTTTTGCCATTTTCTGCTGACGTGAAGCATGCCGAGTCCAGACAATTCCTTAGCATGTATCATGCCTACCCAGCCATCCCCACAGTGCCAGCCAATCCAGCAGGTGAGAGAAGAAACCTGAGTTCTTGAATCTCGGGCCACTGTTAACTGCCCTCCCTGTTCATCTCTCCTTTAGGAAGCTTAAATCTTATACCTAAGACTGGACCAAGACGTGTGAAAGTTAAGGAACACCATCAGCTTTGCACCTGTCTCAACAGATATTATTTAAATATTTTTCTCAACATTTATTTTAGCAAATGGTTCAGTAGGGGAATAGGAGTCTAAGAAGGAGAAGAGCCAGAGATGGTAACATGTCATCAGCTTCTCCTGTTTTGTCCCACACATGGAGCTCTGGTCCCACTCAGCCAGACAGTGGCTGTTTAGGCCCTGGACCTGGCTTACCAAGAACACATTTTAATACACATCTATGAGGTGGACATGCCCCGTTGGGGTTTCGCTCTCTATACTAAGACACTTATCAAACAAAGCGTTCATTTCACCTGTGTATAGCAATGTCTCTGAAAAGATAAATATCATTCTCCCTAGTCCATTTCATGTTCGGGTTACTTTAAGCCTTTGCACACTGGCCCCACAGAACTCTGTCCAAATGGTTTTCCCTTAAGCAATATCTGAATATACTCATACAATCGTCAAGTGTCAGGGGTAGGAGGGAGAGCAAAGAGATCATCCCATCCAGATGATCAAAAGTCTGCTCTCCCTTAGTTATGAATGATGCTTATCAAGTGTTAAAGACTTTTTAGCACTAAATTAAGACTTTTTCCCATGACTTAGTAAGAAGACAGAAGGACTATTGAATGAGAATAACACTGTCACTATGTGATTCAATATCACCTAATGTCTTGTCCATGTGCTTTTAAAAGTAACTAGCACACAACCCATGCTATATATTCTACACATTTCTGAAGAAACTGAGACTCAGGGATGACAATGATGAGGAAATGTTGTGGGAGGGATGAGAGGAGATACTCACAACACACTTGCACACAAGGCACACTGGTTCTCGTGCATTCTGCCATCTGGGCCTTGGACAGGGTGTTTCTCCCCGGTGCATGTGAGCACCCCGTTCCTCACTTGGTTCCGAAACTCACTGCAGAGTTCCTGAAACATGAAGAAAACATCTTCTCAGAGCAGTTCTCTACCCTTCTTGCACCTTTGCCTATTATGAGGAATAAGCGAAGAATAGGTAGTACAGAGTAAGAAGGAAAATTAGAAGGGATTACATATAGCAGTAAATCAGTGAGTCTTTTCAAAGCTTTCATCACGGACTCAGAATTGTCCTGGTACTGTAGGGGATGTGTAAACACCTCATCGTTCTCCTGAGGTTGCCTGTAATCTAGTTGCCGAAGAAGGCTGACACAGTTGATAAATCACATATATCTGTGTGTGTTGTGTTGCACATCCGTCTATAAAAGGTGTGAAAGATCAAAGGTGAGAAGACCCAATAGGCCTAGAAGGAGACGAACAGACAATATTGCTGAGCCTTTATAAGAAGGAAAGAAAATCTTTCCATTTGTGACAACTTGGACAAAACTAGAGGGTACTATGCTAAGTAAAATAAGCCAGACAGAGAAAGACAAATGCTGTCTGATCTCACTTATATGTGGAATCTATAAAAGCCAAACTCATAGAAACAGAGAGTAGAACAGTGGTTACTAAGGGATTGGGGGGAGGGGGGCAACTGGGGAGATGTTGGTCAAAGGTTATAAACTTTCAGTTTTAAGAAAAATAAGCTCTGAAAATCTACTATAGAACATGGTGATTACAGTTAACAATACTGTGTTATATACTTGAAACTTGCTAAGAGTAGATCTTCATTATTCTCATCACACACACACACATAAATGCAATTCTATGGTGGGATCCAGGTGTTAACTAAAACTACGGTGGATCATTTTGAAATCAACATATTGTACACCTTAAATGTATGCAATATTATATGTCAATGATATCTTAATAAAGTTAGAAGAACAATAAAATAAGAATAATGTGCAAATTAACCAAAGTACTAATATGCATATATACATAGGCCATGGACACAGACAATAGTGTGGTGAAGGCCTAGGGGGCGGGGGCAGGGAATAGGGTGAAGGGGTCAGTGGGGGAATAAAGGGAGGACATCTCTAATACTCTCAACAATAAAAATAAATTAAAAAAAAAAAAGAATATTGCTGAGCCTTTATGTGTCTTTAGAAGGCTGAGAAAAAGGGACAAAACATGCTCAACCTAATTAGTAAAGAAATGTACAAAATAAAGACATGGAGAGAGGATGAGTATGATATCTGGAGAAGCTGACACCTTTCGGGGAGTTACTTGTTCAAGTGGGGAATACAGATTTAAAGCAGAAGAGAAAGAACAGGCAGTGGAGAGAAAAAGGAATATGTTAGAATCATTGGAAAAATATAAGACAACGTAGCAACTGATCAGATATTATGGATAAAACAGATTTTCAATTCTAAATTACCCACAGAAGAATGCTTCCTGCTAACAGCAAGAAAGTTACTGAGAAAGTGAGTCAGTTTAAGGCAAACTTTTAAACTGTTTCAACTTTCCCTGAATAAATTATTAGGCTTTTACTTTGTAGCTATTGTTAGGAGAGAAAATACGCTTGCATAGAGCTTTAATAGGAAAGTAATTCAACATCTACATACGGACAAATTTTGTTCTGCTACTTGTAAAATTATACAATTATAAGAGCATGTAGAAAATGTACAATAGGTGAAAAACAATTAGAAAGTCAAAAAATTGCATAATCATCATTAATTGGGGGATGAGAACAGTAGTATTTCCTCCATATTTGGGAGGTGACAAAGGACTAAGGTGATAAATATTAGTGCACATTGTTTTGTAAATTGGACTAATGTGAATGAGAGATCTCACACTCTCTATTAGAAATGACACAGGTTTGAATGACATAAATTGAAGTTAGTACGTTGAAAAGACTATTATTAATAACCTCTGCCTGACCACAGACATCTAAGAAAAGCCAAATATGGAAAATATCCCTCCCAAAGTAAATTAATACTCCATTTTCAAGAAATGAAACTCCAAATTTGAATTATCATGCAATAAAATTGGTCCTCAGCAAACTTCTAATCAATACCATTTCCCCCTCAGCGTAAAGGTTTTCTGTGTTCATTTCAGGCATGAGACTTGAACAGGAAGACATTTCTGCTGATGAGATGTCTAGAATGCTATTACAAAGAACAAAAGGAACAAGGCCCAACACTAGAGATCCTGAGAAAATTACCTTCGCAGCTTGCGGTGTAGCCTGTGCTGTTGCTTTCTCCTTTGCTATTGCTTTCACCTTTGCTGTTGCTTGCTCCTTTGCTGTTGCTTGCTCCTTTGCTGTTGCTTGCTCCTTTGCTGCTGCTTTCACCTTTGCTGTTGCTTGCTCCTTTGCTATTGCTTTCACCATTGCTGTTGCTTGCTCCTTTGCTGTTGCTTGCTGCTTTGCTGTTGCTTGCTCCTTTGCTGCTGCTTTCACCTTTGCTGTTGCTTGCTCCTTTGCTGTTGCTTGCTCCTTTGCTGCTGCTTTCACCTTTGCTGTTGCTTGCTCCTTTGCTATTGCTCTCACCATTGCTGTTGCTTGCTCCTTTGCTGTTGCTTGCTCCTTTGCTGCTGCTTTCACCGTTGCTGTTGCTTGCTCCTTTGCTGTTGCTTGCTCCTTTGCTGCTGCTTTCACCTTTGCTGTTGCTTGCTCCTTTGCTATTGCTTTCACCTTTGCTGTTGCTTGCTCCTTTGCTGTTGCTTGCTCCTTTGCTGCTGCTTGCTCCTTTGCTGCTGCTTTCATCGTTGCTGTTGCTTGCTCCTTTGCTGTTGCTTGCTCCTTTGCTGCTGCTTTCTCCTTTGCTGTTGCTTGCTCCTTTGCTGTTGCTTGCTCCTTTGCTGCTGCTTTCACCTTTGCTGTTGCTTGCTCCTTTGCTATTGCTTTCACCTTTGCTGTTGCTTGCTCCTTTGCTGTTGCTTGCTCCTTTGCTGCTGCTTGCTCCTTTGCTGCTGCTTGCTCCTTTGCTGTTGCTTGCTGCTTTGCTGTTGCTTGCTCCTTTGCTGCTGCTTTCACCTTTGCTGTTGCTTGCTCCTTTGCTGTTGCTTGCTCCTTTGCTGCTGCTTGCTCCTTTGTTGCTGCTTTCACCTTTGCTGCTGCTTGCTCCTTTGCTATTGCTTTCACCTTTGCTGTTGCTTGCTCCTTTGCTGCTGCTTTCACCTTTGCTGTTGCTTGCTCCTTTGCTGCTGCTTGCTCCTTTACTATTGCTTTCACCTTTGCTGTTGCTTGCTCCTTTGTTGCTGCTTTCACCTTTGCTGTTGCTTGCTCCTTTGCTGCTGCTTTCACCTTTGCTATTGTTTGCTCCTTTGCTATTGCTTTCACCTTTGCTGTTGCTTGCTCCTTTGCTGCTGCTTTCTCCTCTTGTTGACTGTAAGTAAAAGCCGGGAGAGAAGAAAGAGGGGAAAAAAAAAAAAAAAGGATCTTAATACAGTGGAACACATCCTCAACATCTACGAGTTGATCTTTCATTGCTTTCACTATTCTCAAGCAACCTCAAAGATCCAATCATAGTAGTGTGTCATTTTGTTTGGATAATGAACTAGAATGATTCACTTCTCCTCAAGAAGATAGGGGGCGACAGAAAGTCCCTTAATGAGTAAATCTCTTTAGCTTCTCAGCAAATATACTGCAATAACACTTTCTCATTTACTGATTCTTTTGTATGTGCAAAAACTCTTTATAAAGTGGCAATGTTTGGTTTCTGAGAGGCAATATAGCATGGTAGTTAAGAGGAAAAACTCTGGAGCCACATCGCTTAAGAAACACAAAAATTCCTAACCTCTTTGTGGCTTCCTCGTCTTTAAATGAGAAGGGCAGAAGAGGAACAGGAGAGAAAAGTGAAAGAATACTTTTCTCATTTTTGTTGTGAGCATGAAATGTGTTGGCACAGTGCAGGCAAAGCAATTAGAATAAGTATTTGGTCCACAATAAGAAGATTGACAAAAGTTGTTTGAAAACTTCTCTTTGTTCCATTGGCCCCGTTCCTTCAGAAGCCCTGAGCTCTACTCACAAGAAGGCCTCACACATGGAGCAGGTGTTGTCATGCATTTTCCCATCTGGGCCCTGGATGGGGTCGCTCTCTCTGGTGCAGGGAAGTCGTCCATTCTTCACATGGTTACGGTATTCACTGCACAGCTCCTGCCAAGATTCAGGTAACTAAACATGAGAAAGTTTCCCTCACATTACCTCTTTGAAACTATCATATAACGCCCCAAAACATGATGGATGCATGGACAAGATGATGCAGGAGGTCGGTATTAGCCAAGATGCTTCTCAGAGACCCAGATCACACATTATGTGGAATATAAGGTAGTTGCTACATATCTTATTGGAAAACCTTCAATTCAATGCAAATATTATTCTCTGCTCAGCACTATGGGAGATAAAAGGAAGAATTTAATGTTCCTTTTGTAAAGGTATTTGTGCTAGGCAGGATGATAGCTTTCAACCCCAAATATGTATAAGCCCTAACACCCAGGTCTAATACCCAGGTCCTGCGAATATCACCTCACAGGGCAAAAGGGACTTAGCAGATGTGATTAAAGATGCGGAGTCTGAGACAGGGAGATGATCCTGGATAGTTCTAGTGTGCCCAGTGTAATCAGAAGGTCAACCCTTAAAACTGGAAGACACAGATGGGTAGTGAGAGGGAGACAGGACTACACAAGAACAGTCAGAGATGTGGTGTTGTTGGCTTTGCAGCTGATGAAAAGTGTCCAAGATCCAAGGAACATGAATGGCCTCTAGAATCTAGAACATGCAAGCATTCAAACTGTCCCCTAGAGAGTCTAGAAAGGAGCACAGCCCTACCAACCCTTTCATTGAGCCCAGTGAGATGTGTGTCACACTTCTAACTTAAAGAACCGTGAAACAGTAAGTCTGTGTTGCTTGTAAGCTACTGAGTTTGTGGTACTTGGTTAGAGCAAGCATGAAAAACCAATACAGAATTTTTAGTGTCATTTGAAGAAATAAATACATAGATGCATTTATAAGTTAGAATAAAACAAATGATATAATTGAGAAATAAAGAAAAATGATTGGCATAATAGATGACAAACTACTAAGTATATTGTACAAATGGAGAAAATCTTTAGGGAGTCTCTAATACTTATTCTGAACTATAAAAAATGGCTAGAATTTTGATAAGGGGAAGGGACATTCATGACAGAACATGAGCGTGACCACATAGAAGGTAAAGTTCATTGTATGTACAATATTGAGGACATCAGCTATGCGGGGGAAGGGGGGCTGTGCTGTTATACATAGATAAGTTCCTTGAAATTTAATTTTAAAATAACAATAATGTACTTATTTTATTAATGAGTAAACTAAGACAAAAATGTTAACGTCTGACAACTGGCAGGGAGATAGATGGAGCTCATGACTTCTCTTCTATAAAATACAAATAATAATTCATACCTTGAATAATTACTAGAGATCAGTCATGGAATTGATAGACCACATTGCATATAGTAGCAATGACATACTTAATAGCCATCACCATTGTCATTATCATCGTCGTCATCACCATTATCATCATCATGTGAGATGTTACAGAAGCAAACCCAAGGCTAAAAGATGCTATTGAGTAACTTCTGCAAAATTTCACAGAGAATTATTTGGGAGGAAAACTTAGGTTTGTTTTTTGTGTTTTGTTTTTAACTAAACATCTTTATACAATGAGGTATGAGGCAAAATCTAACATCTGCCTCTATTGGTTTGCATCCAGAGAAGACAATCTGCACATATTTCTTTCCTGGGATAATCCAATCCATAAGTTCAGCAGAGGAAAGGGTGGTCGATCTCTTCTCAAATGCATAAGCAACTTGATCAAATTAGGTGTGAATAAACTGAACCAGGAAGAAGGGATCTTCTACATGAGGATCCCAATACATTTTCTGTTTGCAAAGTCACTACAGACCCGGGATTGGGACGAGGGAGCGAGGCCTCGCCTAATGAGAATGGAATAGGTAGGCGGCTCTGATGACCTGAAATAACTACCTGTACTGTTCCTCTCTTAACTTTCTCAGCTCCAGCTTTCACCGTTCCTTGCTTCGTATTATGTTTTCTCTGTTCTTCTTCAAGTTGACTGCAATTAAAAAGAAAAAGAAGAGGAAGATATAAGCGAAATATAATTCCTCATTCTCTTTGGTAACCTATTTTCAGAAGAAATGAGAATCTTCCAGACCTAAGGTCATATTTCGTCTTCAGTACAAACGTATGCAGTCCAAGAGGTGCTATCACTTTGTCCATTAATGCAGATAAATTCATTAGTTCCCAATCCCCTTTTAAAAATAAAACTAGCATGCTTTTTAAAAAATGTTTTTTTTATCAGTATGTGAAACTCGGATGGTCTTTTGCTCCCCGTCAGTGATTTCCACCAATAATCTAAAAAAAGCTTCAATTGCTTTTAAATGTTTTTAAAATTGTGAAACATTTCCTATTTAAATAACTACCACATCGATGACGGATGCAAGGCATGAAACTAAGTCAGACAATGGGCACATAATCCAAGTCAACCATGGGTCACTATAAAATAAAAAAAATTAATATTCTTTTAATGGCATTAATATTCAAGTTGAAATTCAAGTTTTAGAGTGCAATAATGATTCCAGCTCCAGAAGAGTCAACAACTGCTATTTTGAAACTGATCATGAGCCTAAGATTCTGGCATTTTTGCCATTTTCTGCTGACGTGAAGCATGCCGAGTCCAGACAATTCCTTAGCATGTATCATGCCTACCCAGCCATCCCCACAGTGCCAGCCAATCCAGCAGGTGAGAGAAGAAACCTGAGTTCTTGAATCTCGGGCCACTGTTAACTGCCCTCCCTGTTCATCTCTCCTTTAGGAAGCTTAAATCTTATACCTAAGACTGGACCAAGACGTGTGAAAGTTAAGGAACACCATCAGCTTTGCACCTGTCTCAACAGATATTATTTAAATATTTTTCTCAACATTTATTTTAGCAAATGGTTCAGTAGGGGAATAGGAGTCTAAGAAGGAGAAGAGCCAGAGATGGTAACATGTCATCAGCTTCTCCTGTTTTGTCCCACACATGGAGCTCTGGTCCCACTCAGCCAGACAGTGGCTGTTTAGGCCCTGGACCTGGCTTACCAAGAACACATTTTAATACACATCTATGAGGTGGACATGCCCCGTTGGGGTTTCGCTCTCTATACTAAGACACTTATCAAACAAAGCGTTCATTTCACCTGTGTATAGCAATGTCTCTGAAAAGATAAATATCATTCTCCCTAGTCCATTTCATGTTCGGGTTACTTTAAGCCTTTGCACACTGGCCCCACAGAACTCTGTCCAAATGGTTTTCCCTTAAGCAATATCTGAATATACTCATACAATCGTCAAGTGTCAGGGGTGGGAGGGAGAGCAAAGAGATCATCCCATCCAGATGATCAAAAGTCTGCTCTCCCTTAGTTATGAATGATGCTTATCAAGTGTTAAAGACTTTTTAGCACTAAATTAAGATTTTTTCCCATGACTTAGTAAGAAGACAGAAGGACTATTGAATGAGAATAACACTGTCACTATGTGATTCAATATCACCTAATGTCTTGTCCATGTGCTTTTAAAAGTAACTAGCACACAACCCATGCTATATATTCTACACATTTCTGAAGAAACTGAGACTCAGGGATGACAATGATGAGGAAATGTTGTGGGAGGGATGAGAGGAGATACTCACAACACACTTGCACACAAGGCACACTGGTTCTCGTGCATTCTGCCATCTGGGCCTTGGACAGGGTGTTTCTCCCCGGTGCATGTGAGCACCCCGTTCCTCACTTGGTTCCGAAACTCACCGCAGATTTCCTGAAACATGAAGAAAACATCTTCTCAGAGCAGTTCTCTACCCTTCTTGCACCTTTGCCTATTATGAGGAATAAGCGAAGAATAGGTAGTACAGAGTAAGAAGGAAAATTAGAAGGGATTACATATAGCAGTAAATCAGTGAGTCTTTTCAAAGCTTTCATCACGGACTCAGAATTGTCCTGGTACTGTAGGGGATGTGTAAACACCTCATCGTTCTCCTGAGGTTGCCTGTAATCTAGTTGCCGAAGAAGGCTGACACAGTTGATAAATCACATATATCTGTGTGTGTTGTGTTGCACATCCGTCTATAAAAGGTGTGAAAGATCAAAGGTGAGAAGACTCAATAGGCCTAGAAGGAGACGAACAGACAATATTGCTGAGCCTTTATAAGAAGGAAAGAAAATCTTTCCATTTGTGACAACTTGGACAAAACTAGAGGGTACTATGCTAAGTAAAATAAGCCAGACAGAGAAAGACAAATGCTGTCTGATCTCACTTATATGTGGAATCTATAAAAGCCAAACTCATAGAAACAGAGAGTAGAACAGTGGTTACTAAGGGATTGGGGGGAGGGGGGCAACTGGGGAGATGTTGGTCAAAGGTTATAAACTTTCAGTTTTAAGAAAAATAAGCTCTGAAAATCTACTATAGAACATGGTGATTACAGTTAACAATACTGTGTTATATACTTGAAACTTGCTAAGAGTAGATCTTCATTATTCTCATCACACACACACACATAAATGCAATTCTATGGTGGGATCCAGGTGTTAACTAAAACTACGGTGGATCATTTTGAAATCAACATATTGTACACCTTAAATGTATGCAATATTATATGTCAATGATATCTTAATAAAGTTAGAAGAACAATAAAATAAGAATAATGTGCAAATTAACCAAAGTACTAATATGCATATATACATAGGCCATGGACACAGACAATAGTGTGGTGAAGGCCTAGGGGGCGGGGGCAGGGAATAGGGTGAAGGGGTCAGTGGGGGAATAAAGGGAGGACATCTGTAATACTCTCAACAATAAAAATAAATTAAAAAAAAAAAAGAATATTGCTGAGCCTTTATGTGTCTTTAGAAGGCTGAGAAAAAGGGACAAAACATGCTCAACCTAATTAGTAAAGAAATGTACAAAATAAAGACATGGAGAGAGGATGAGTATGATATCTGGAGAAGCTGACACCTTTCGGGGAGTTACTTGTTCAAGTGGGGAATACAGATTTAAAGCAGAAGAGAAAGAACAGGCATGGAGAGAAAAAGGAATATGTTAGAATCATTGGAAAAATATAAGACAACGTAGCAACTGATCAGATATTATGGATAAAACAGATTTTCAATTCTAAATTACCCACAGAAGAATGCTTCCTGCTAACAGCAAGAAAGTTACTGAGAAAGTGAGTCAGTTTAAGGCAAACTTTTAAACTGTTTCAACTTTCCCTGAATAAATTATTAGGCTTTTACTTTGTAGCTATTGTTAGGAGAGAAAATACGCTTGCATAGAGCTTTAATAGGAAAGTAATTCAACATCTACATACGGACAAATTTTGTTCTGCTACTTGTAAAATTATACAATTATAAGAGCATGTAGAAAATGTACAATAGGTGAAAAACAATTAGAAAGTCAAAAAATTGCATAATCATCATTAATTGGGGGATGAGAACAGTAGTATTTCCTCCATATTTGGGAGGTGACAAAGGACTAAGGTGATAAATATTAGTGCACATTGTTTTGTAAATTGGACTAATGTGAATGAGAGATCTCACACTCTCTATTAGAAATGACACAGGTTTGAATGACATAAATTGAAGTTAGTACGTTGAAAAGACTATTATTAATAACCTCTGCCTGACCACAGACATCTAAGAAAAGCCAAATATGGAAAATATCCCTCCCAAAGTAAATTAATACTCCATTTTCAAGAAATGAAACTCCAAATTTGAATTATCATGCAATAAAATTGGTCCTCAGCAAACTTCTAATCAATACCATTTCCCCCTCAGCGTAAAGGTTTTCTGTGTTCATTTCAGGCATGAGACTTGAACAGGAAGACATTTCTGCTGATGAGATGTCTAGAATGCTATTACAAAGAACAAAAGGAACAAGGCCCAACACTAGAGATCCTGAGAAAATTACCTTCGCAGCTTGCGGTGTAGCCTGTGCTGTTGCTTTCTCCTTTGCTATTGCTTTCACCTTTGCTGTTGCTTGCTCCTTTGCTGTTGCTTGCTCCTTTGCTGCTGCTTTCACCTTTGCTGTTGCTTGCTCCTTTGCTATTGCTTTCACCATTGCTGTTGCTTGCTCCTTTGCTGCTGCTTGCTCCTTTGCTGTTGCTTGCTCCTTTGCTGTTGCTTGCTCCTTTGCTGCTGCTTTCACCTTTGCTGTTGCTTGCTCCTTTGCTATTGCTTTCACCATTGCTGTTGCTTGCTCCTTTGCTGCTGCTTGCTCCTTTGCTGTTGCTTGCTGCTTTGCTGTTGCTTGCTCCTTTGCTGCTGCTTGCTCCTTTGCTGTTGCTTGCTCCTTTGCTGCTGCTTTCACCTTTGCTGTTGCTTGCTCCTTTGCTGCTGCTTTCACCGTTGCTGTTGCTTGCTCCTTTGCTGTTGCTTGCTCCTTTGCTGCTGCTTTCACCTTTGCTGTTGCTTGCTCCTTTGCTATTGCTCTCACCATTGCTGTTGCTTGCTCCTTTGCTGTTGCTTGCTCCTTTGCTGCTGCTTGCTCCTTTGCTGCTGCTTGCTCCTTTGCTATTGCTTTCACCTTTGCTGTTGCTTGCTCCTTTGCTGTTGCTTGCTCCTTTGCTGCTGCTTGCTCCTTTGCTGTTGCTTGCTGCTTTGCTGTTGCTTGCTCCTTTGCTGCTGCTTTCACCTTTGCTGTTGCTTGCTCCTTTGCTGTTGCTTGCTCCTTTGTTGCTGCTTTCACCTTTGCTGCTGCTTGCTCCTTTGCTATTGCTTTCACCTTTGCTGTTGCTTGCTCCTTTGTTGCTGCTTTCACCTTTGCTGTTGCTTGCTCCTTTGCTGCTGCTTTCACCTTTGCTGTTGTTTGCTCCTTTGCTATTGCTTTCACCTTTGCTGTTGCTTGCTCCTTTGCTGCTGCTTTCTCCTCTTGTTGACTGTAAGTAAAAGCCGGGAGAGAACAAAGAGGGGAAAAAAAAAAAAAAGGATCTTAATACAGTGGAACACATCCTCAACATCTACGAGTTGATCTTTCATTGCTTTCACTATTCTCAAGCAACCTCAAAGATCCAATCATAGTAGTGTGTCATTTTGTTTGGATAATGAACTAGAATGATTCACTTCTCCTCAAGAAGATGGGGGGCGACAGAAAGTCCCTTAATGAGTAAATCTCTTTAGCTTCTCAGCAAATATACTGCAATAACACTTTCTCATTTACTGATTCTTTTGTATGTGCAAAAACTCTTTATAAAGTGGCAATGTTTGGTTTCTGAGAGGCAATATAGCATGGTAGTTAAGAGGAAAAACTCTGGAGCCACATCGCTTAAGAAACACAAAAATTCCTAACCTCTTTGTGGCTTCCTCAGTCTTTAAATGAGAAGGGCAGAAGAGGAACAGGAGAGAAAAGTGAAAGAATACTTTTCTCATTTTTGTTGTGAGCATGAAATGTGTTGGCACAGTGCAGGCAAAGCAATTAGAATAAGTATTTGGTCCACAATAAGAAGATTGACAAAAGTTGTTTGAAAACTTCTCTTTGTTCCATTGGCCCCGTTCCTTCAGAAGCCCTGAGCTCTACTCACAAGAAGGCCTCACACATGGAGCAGGTGTTGTCATGCATTTTCCCATCTGGGCCCTGGATGGGGTCGCTCTCTCTGGTGCAGGGAAGTCGTCCATTCTTCACATGGTTACGGTATTCACTGCACAGCTCCTGCCAAGATTCAGGTAACTAAACATGAGAAAGTTTCCCTCACATTACCTCTTTGAAACTATCATATAACGCCCCAAAACATGATGGATGCATGGACAAGATGATGCAGGAGGTCGGTATTAGCCAAGATGCTTCTCAGAGACCCAGATCACACATTATGTGGAATATAAGGTAGTTGCTACATATCTTATTGGAAAACCTTCAATTCAATGCAAATATTATTCTCTGCTCAGCACTATGGGAGATAAAAGGAAGAATTTAATGTTCCTTTTGTAAAGGTATTTGTGCTAGGCAGGATGATAGCTTTCAACCCTAAATATGTATAAGCCCTAACACCCAGGTCTAATACCCAGGTCCTGCGAATATCACCTCACAGGGCAAAAGGGACTTAGCAGATGTGATTAAAGATGCGGAGTCTGAGACAGGGAGATGATCCTGGATAGTTCTAGTGTGCCCAGTGTAATCAGAAGGTCAACCCTTAAAACTGGAAGACACAGATGGGTAGTGAGAGGGAGACAGGACTACACAAGAACAGTCAGAGATGTGGTGTTGTTGGCTTTGCAGCTGATGAAAAGTGTCCAAGATCCAAGGAACATGAATGGCCTCTAGAATCTAGAACATGCAAGCATTCAAACTGTCCCCTAGAGAGTCTAGAAAGGAGCACAGCCCTACCAACCCTTTCATTGAGCCCAGTGAGATGTGTGTCACACTTCTAACTTAAAGAACCGTGAAACAGTAAGTCTGTGTTGCTTGTAAGCTACTGAGTTTGTGGTACTTGGTTAGAGCAAGCATGAAAAACCAATACAGAATTTTTAGTGTCATTTGAAGAAATAAATACATAGATGCATTTATAAGTTAGAATAAAACAAATGATATAATTGAGAAATAAAGAAAAATGATTGGCATAATAGATGACAAACTACTAAGTATATTGTACAAATGGAGAAAATCTTTAGGGAGTCTCTAATACTTATTCTGAACTATAAAAAATGGCTAGAATTTTGATAAGGGGAAGGGACATTCATGACAGAACATGAGCGTGACCACATAGAAGGTAAAGTTCATTGTATGTACAATATTGAGGACATCAGCTATGCGGGGGAAGGGGGGCTGTGCTGTTATACATAGATAAGTTCCTTGAAATTTAATTTTAAAATAACAATAATGTACTTATTTTATTAATGAGTAAACTAAGACAAAAATGTTAACGTCTGACAACTGGCAGGGAGATAGATGGAGCTCATGACTTCTCTTCTATAAAATACAAATAATAATTCATACCTTGAATAATTACTAGAGATCAGTCATGGAATTGATAGACCACATTGCATATAGTAGCAATGACATACTTAATAGCCATCACCATTGTCATTATCATCGTCGTCATCATCATTATCATCATCATGTGAGATGTTACAGAAGCAAACCCAAGGCTAAAAGATGCTATTGAGTAACTTCTGCAAAATTTCACAGAGAATTATTTGGGAGGAAAACTTAGGTTTGTTTTTTGTGTTTTGTTTTTAACTAAACATCTTTATACAATGAGGTATGAGGCAAAATCTAACATCTGCCTCTATTGGTTTGCATCCAGAGAAGACAATCTGCACATATTTCTTTCCTGGGATAATCCAATCCATAAGTTCAGCAGAGGAAAGGGTGGTCGATCTCTTCTCAAATGCATAAGCAACTTGATCAAATTAGGTGTGAATAAACTGAACCAGGAAGAAGGGATCTTCTACATGAGGATCCCAATACATTTTCTGTTTGCAAAGTCACTACAGACCCGGGATTGGGACGAGGGAGCGAGGCCTCGCCTAATGAGAATGGAATAGGTAGGCGGCTCTGATGACCTGAAATAACTACCTGTACTGTTCCTCTCTTAACTTTCTCAGCTCCAGCTTTCACCGTTCCTTGCTTCGTATTATGTTTTCTCTGTTCTTCTTCAAGTTGACTGCAATTAAAAAGAAAAAGAAGAGGAAGATATAAGCGAAATATAATTCCTCATTCTCTTTGGTAACCTATTTTCAGAAGAAATGAGAATCTTCCAGACCTAAGGTCATATTTCGTCTTCAGTACAAACGTATGCAGTCCAAGAGGTGCTATCACTTTGTCCATTAATGCAGATAAATTCATTAGTTCCCAATCCCCTTTTAAAAATAAAACTAGCATGCTTTTTAAAAAATGTTTTTTTTATCAGTATGTGAAACTCGGATGGTCTTTTGCTCCCCGTCAGTGATTTCCACCAATAATCTAAAAAAAGCTTCAATTGCTTTTAAATGTTTTTAAAATTGTGAAACATTTCCTATTTAAATAACTACCACATCGATGACGGATGCAAGGCATGAAACTAAGTCAGACAATGGGCACATAATCCAAGTCAACCATGGGTCACTATAAAATAAAAAAAATTAATATTCTTTTAATGGCATTAATATTCAAGTTGAAATTCAAGTTTTAGAGTGCAATAATGATTCCAGCTCCAGAAGAGTCAACAACTGCTATTTTGAAACTGATCATGAGCCTAAGATTCTGGCATTTTTGCCATTTTCTGCTGACGTGAAGCATGCCGAGTCCAGACAATTCCTTAGCATGTATCATGCCTACCCAGCCATCCCCACAGTGCCAGCCAATCCAGCAGGTGAGAGAAGAACCCTGAGTTCTTGAATCTCGGGCCACTGTTAACTGCCCTCCCTGTTCATCTCTCCTTTAGGAAGCTTAAATCTTATACCTAAGACTGGACCAAGATGTGTGAAAGTTAAGGAACACCATCAGCTTTGCACCTGTCTCAACAGATATTATTTAAATATTTTTCTCAACATTTATTTTAGCAAATGGTTCAGTAGGGGAATAGGAGTCTAAGAAGGAGAAGAGCCAGAGATGGTAACATGTCATCAGCTTCTCCTGTTTTGTCCCACACATGGAGCTCTGGTCCCACTCAGCCAGACAGTGGCTGTTTAGGCCCTGGACCTGGCTTACCAAGAACACATTTTAATACACATCTATGAGGTGGACATGCCCCGTTGGGGTTTCGCTCTCTATACTAAGACACTTATCAAACAAAGCGTTCATTTCACCTGTGTATAGCAATGTCTGTGAAAAGATAAATATCATTCTCCCTAGTCCATTTCATGTTCGGGTTACTTTAAGCCTTTGCACACTGGCCCCACAGAACTCTGTCCAAATGGTTTTCCCTTAAGCAATATCTGAATATACTCATACAATCGTCAAGTGTCAGGGGTGGGAGGGAGAGCAAAGAGATCATCCCATCCAGATGATCAAAAGTCTGCTCTCCCTTTGTTATGAATGATGCTTATCAAGTGTTAAAGACATTTTAGCACTAAATTAAGACTTTTTCCCATGACTTAGTAAGAAGACAGAAGGACTATTGAATGAGAATAACACTGTCACTATGTGATTCAATATCACCTAATGTCTTGTCCATGTGCTTTTAAAAGTAACTAGCACACAACCCATGCTATATATTCTACACATTTCTGAAGAAACTGAGACTCAGGGATGACAATGATCAGGAAATGTTGTGGGAGGGATGAGAAGAGATACTCACAACACACTTGCACACAAGGCACACTGGTTCTCGTGCATTCTGCCATCTGGGCCTTGGACAGGGTGTTTCTCCCCGGTGCATGTGAGCACCCCGTTCCTCACTTGGTTCCGAAACTCACCGCAGAGTTCCTGAAACATGAAGAAAACATCTTCTCAGAGCAGTTCTCTACCCTTCTTGCACCTTTGCCTATTATGAGGAATAAGCGAAGAATAGGTAGTACAGAGTAAGAAGGAAAATTAGAAGGGATTACATATAGCAGTAAATCAGTGAGTCTTTTCAAAGCTTTCATCACGGACTCAGAATTGTCCTGGTACTGAAGGGGATGTGTAAACACCTCATCGTTCTCCTGAGGTTGCCTGTAATCTAGTTGCCGAAGAAGGCTGACACAGTTGATAAATCACATATATCTGTGTGTGTTGTGTTGCACATCCGTCTATAAAAGGTGTGAAAGATCAGAGGTGAGAAGACTCAATAGGCCTAGAAGGAGACGAACAGACAATATTGCTGAGCCTTTATAAGAAGGAAAGAAAATCTTTCCATTTGTGACAACTTGGACAAAACTAGAGGGTACTATGCTAAGTAAAATAAGCCAGACAGAGAAAGACAAATGCTGTCTGATCTCACTTATATGTGGAATCTATAAAAGCCAAACTCATAGAAACAGAGAGTAGAACAGTGGTTACTAAGGGATTGGGGAAAGGGGGGCAACTGGGGAGATGTTGGTCAAAGGTTATAAACTTTCAGTTTTAAGAAAAATAAGCTCTGAAAATCTACTATAGAACATGGTGATTACAGTTAACAATACTGTGTTATATACTTGAAACTTGCTAAGAGTAGATCTTCATTATTCTCATCACACACACACACATAAATGCAATTCTATGGTGGGATCCAGGTGTTAACTAAAACTACGGTGGATCATTTTGAAATCAACATATTGTACACCTTAAATGTATGCAATATTATATGTCAATGATATCTTAATAAAGTTAGAAGAACAATAAAATAAGAATAATGTGCAAATTAACCAAAGTACTAATATGCATATATACATAGGCCATGGACACAGACAATAGTGTGGTGAAGGCCTAGGGGGCGGGGGCAGGGAATGGGGTGAAGGGGTCAGTGGGGGAATAAAGGGAGGACATCTGTAATACTCTCAACAATAAAAATAAATTAAAAAAAAAAGAATATTGCTGAGCCTTTATATGTCTTTAGAAGGCTGAGAAAAAGAGACAAAACATGCTCAACTTAATTAGTAAAGACATGGAGAGAGGATGAGTATGATATCTGGAGAAGCTGACACCTTTCGGGGATTTACTTGCTCAAGTGGGGAATACGGATTTAAAACAGAAGAGAAAGTACAGGCATGGAGAGAAAAAGGAATATGTGAGAATCATTGGAAAAATATAAGACAACGTAGCAACTGATCAGATATTATGGATAAAACAGATTTTCAATTCTAAATTACCCACAGAAGAATGCTTCCTGCTAACAGCAAGAAAGTTACTGAGAAAGTGAGTCAGTTTAAGGCAAACTTTTAAACTGTTTCAACTTTCCCTGAATAAATTATTAGGCTTTTACTTTGTAGCTATTGTTAGGAGAGAAAATACGCTTGCATAGAGCTTTAATAGGAAAGTAATTCAACATCTACATACGGACAAATTTTGTTCTGCTACTTGTAAAATTATACAATTAGAAGAGCATGTAGAAAATGTACAGTAGGTGAAAAAGAATTAGAAAGTCAAAAAATTACATAATCATCATTAATTGGGGGATGGGAACAGTAGTATTTCCTCCATATTTGGGAGGTGACAAAGGACTAAGGTGATAAATATTAGTGCACATTGTTTTGTAAATTGGACTAATGTGAATGAGAGATCTCACACTCTCTATTAGAAATGACACAGGTTTGAATGACATAAATTGAAGTTAGTACGTTGAAAAGACTATTATTAATAACCTCTGCCTGACCACAGACATCTAAGAAAAGCCAAATATGGAAAATATCCCTCCCAAAGTAAATTAATACTCCATTTTCAAGAAATGAAACTCCAAATTTGAATTATCATGCAATAAAATTGGTCCTCAGCAAACTTCTAATCAATACCATTTCCCCCTCAGCGTAAAGGTTTTCTGTGTTCATTTCAGGCATGAGACTTGAACAGGAAGACATTTCTGCTGGTGAGATGTCTAGAATGCTATTACAAAGAACAAAAGGAACAAGGCCCAACACTAGGGATCCTGAGAAAATTACCTTCGCAGCTTGCGGTGTAGCCTGTGCTGTTGCTTGCTCCTTTGCTATTGCTTTCACCTTTGGTGTTGCTTGCTCCTTTGCTGTTGCTTGCTCCTTTGCTGCTGCTTTCACCTTTGCTGTTGCTTGCTCCTTTGCTATTGCTTTCACCATTGCTGTTGCTTGCTCCTTTGCTGTTGCTTGCTCCTTTGCTGTTGCTTGCTCCTTTGCTGCTGCTTTCACCTTTGCTGTTGCTTGCTCCTTTGCTGTTGCTTGCTCCTTTGCTGTTGCTTTCACCTTTGCTGTTGCTTGCTCCTTTGCTGCTGCTTTCACCTTTGCTGTTGCTTGCTCCTTTGCTGCTGCTTGCTCCTTTGCTGTTGCTTGCTCCTTTGCTATTGCTTTCACCATTGCTGCTGCTTTCACCTTTGCTGTTGCTTGCTCCTTTGCTGTTGCTTGCTCCTTTGCTGCTGCTTTCACCTTTGCTGTTGCTTGCTCCTTTGCTGCTGCTTTCACCTTTGCTGTTGCTTGCTCCTTTGCTATTGCTTTCACCATTGCTGTTGCTTGCTCCTTTGCTGCTGCTTGCTCCTTTGCTGTTGCTTGCTCCTTTGCTGTTGCTTGCTCCTTTGCTGCTGCTTTCACCTTTGCTGTTGCTTGCTCCTTTGCTGTTGCTTGCTCCTTTGCTGCTGCTTTCACCTTTGCTGTTGCTTGCTCCTTTGCTGCTGCTTTCACCTTTGCTGTTGCTTGCTCCTTTGCTATTGCTTTCACCATTGCTGTTGCTTGCTCCTTTGCTGTTGCTTGCTCCTTTGCTGTTGCTTGCTCCTTTGCTGTTGCTTGCTCCTTTGCTGCTGCTTTCACCTTTGCTGTTGCTTGCTCCTTTGCTGTTGCTTGCTCCTTTGCTGCTGCTTTCACCTTTGCTGTTGCTTGCTCCTTTGCTGCTGTTTTCACCTTTGCTGTTGCTTGCTCCTTTGCTATTGCTTTCACCATTGCTGTTGCTTGCTCCTTTGCTGCTGCTTGCTCCTTTGCTGTTGCTTGCTCCTTTGCTGTTGCTTGCTCCTTTGCTGCTGCTTTCACCTTTGCTGTTGCTTGCTCCTTTGCTGTTGCTTGCTCCTTTGCTGCTGCTTTCACCTTTGCTGTTGCTTGCTCCTTTGCTGCTGCTTTCACCTTTGCTGTTGCTTGCTCCTTTGCTGTTGCTTGCTCCTTTGCTGCTGCTTTCACCTTTGCTGTTGCTTGCTCCTTTGCTATTGCTTTCACCTTTGCTGTTGCTTGCTCCTTTGCTATTGCTTTCACCTTTGCTGTTGCTTGCTCCTTTGCTGCTGCTTTCACCTTTGCTGTTGCTTGCTCCTTTGCTGCTGCTTTCTCCTCTTGTTGACTGTAAGTAACAGCCGGGAGAGAAGAAAGAGGGGAAAAAAAAAAAAAAGGATCTTAATACAGTGGAACACATCCTCAACATCTACGAATTGATCTTTCATTGCTTTCACTATTCTCACGCAACCTCAAAGATCCAATCATAGTAGTGTGTCATTTTGTTTGGATAATGAACTAGAATGATTCACTTCTCCTCAAGAAGATGGGGGGCGACAGAAAGTCCCTTAATGAGTAAATCTCTTTAGCTTCTCAGCAAATATACTGCAATAACACTTGCTCATTTACTGATTCTTTTGTATGTGCAAAAACTCTTTATAAAGTGGCAATGTTTGGTTTCTGAGAGGCAATATAGCATGGTAGTTAAGAGGAAAAACTCTGGAGCCACATCGCTTAAGAAACACAAAAATTCCTAACCTCTTTGTGGCTTCCTCGTCTTTAAATGAGAAGGGCAGAAGAGGAACAGGAGAGAAAAGTGAAAGAATACTTTTCTCATTTTTGTTGTGAGCATGAAATGTGTTGGCACAGTGCAGGCAAAGCAATTAGAATAAGTATTTGGTCCACAATAAAAAGATTGACAAAAGTGGTATAAGTGATTGGTATCATCATCATTGTAATCATTATTGAAAGTGAATCCTCCAAAAACAGGCAAATGATTGAAATGATGTGAGAGTGATAGTTTTTATCATTTTGGATAACTAACAGTGTTGCAAACTGAGTTCACTGAATGGATCTATAGCATAATTGAATCCATAACCCAAGTAATTCAATCATTTTATATAGACAGGAAAATATTAAATAATTTTTTAATATGTTTTAATATGTTCCAATCAGCATAAGACTTGCTCATTAATTAAATTATAACTTTTTAAGAGTTGAAGAGAGTGTTTGCATATAGTTTGAAGTGTACAAGAAAAGACTACAGAGGGAAGAATGATTCTGAAGAAAGTAAATACCCTCTGCTAACATATCCATAAAATATGAGGTGATAAAACTTTATTTCTTTTTAATATGGCATTTTATAGCGATGAGAGAAAGTTATTAAAATATTTCCAAAATTGTGAGGTTTCTCTTACTTCTTTAAAAGGAAAACTGATCTAAACTTCGTCATGAGTCTAAATTGACCCAATTTCTTGCCCTAGAGGGAAATTATCAGGAAGTAGCAGAGCTGACCACTAGATGGCAGAATTATCTCCTTGTCACTAGAAGATGAATATAGAGGTAAAACAAAAAACAAAACAAAACAAAAAAACAGACTGAAACAAACCTAAATACATGTAAATACAACCACTAGAAGTTGATAGTGGCATTGCTAAATGATTACATCCTGTCTACATCATACAGTGAGAAATATTATCATGTTCCTTGTTTTTCTTGTGTGGATTTTTCTATCATTCACAACCTCTCTGAACCTTCATTTTTCCACCTAAAACTTGTAATAATACAGAACCTATTTCATATGTTTGTTGTGAAGATGAAATGAGATTAAGTAGCGAAGCTCTTGGCAAGTACATAAGAATTAGATGCATTCAATAAATGTTGGTTACAATGGTCTTGACTTCCACCTAACAGATGTTTAGTGCTTCCCTGGCCCAAACACTGTGGCATCAATCTGCTGAGTCATCATTGTTTTCTACCAGAAAAAGACTGCCTGACTGAATCTTAAATCCAGAGATTCTGGCATACAGAAAATAAATTGGAGTATCCCTTTGGACGAAGATAAAAAAAAAAAAATGTACAGAATACCATAGGTGTGTTTGATGGGACAGAGCGTGCATTTATTTTAAAGTTATAACTTTGTCCCCTATAAATGGGCATCCAAATTCTACACAAGAAAGTCAGCATTCCTGAAGCAGTCTTCCCTTCTCTAACCGTTGCAAAGTTCATCTTCATGTTGCACTGAAGCCTTTCTCCCTGTGGCTCTCACCCGTTTTCACCCCATTCTTTGAGGTCACACACAATGAGTAGAGAGAGGATGAGCTAAAATAACATCTTCCAAAATGTGCGGTGTACCATAATGATATTTCATATGCAACCTTTCATTTCCTGTTTCAGCTAATAATCCCGCAGAAAGCGCAAAGCCATGACTAAGGCTACCACAGAGCGTTTTCTTCTTTGAGTAAAAGATTCTGAGTTCTTTCTGAAATATCCTAAAAGAAATGATTCTGTATCTCTTTACATCACAGTGGTTGTCATCTGAAAGTTCTCTACTTGCTCTTTTGGATTTGTGCTTTTTGTTTTTATTTTATTGCAGTGTGACACCCAGAACTGAATGCTACACTGAAAAGTGCATTGTTTGCAGTTGTTTGAAAACTTCTCTTTGTTCCACTGGCCCCGCTCCTTCAGAAGCCCTGAGCTCTACTCACAAGAAGGCCTCACACATGGAGCAGGTGTTGTCATGCATTTTCCCATCTGGGCCCTGGATGGGGTCGTTCTCTCTGGGGCAAGGGAGTCTGCCATTCCTCACGATCTTGCGGTATTCACTGCACAGCTCCTGTCAAAATGGAGACATGCATCTCATTCCTAGTCAAAGCACCAGATTGGAACATCTGCATTGGCAGAAACTAATGTTAGGTTCCTTCGAGCCCCGGGCTTATAGCTGTGTTTCTCTCAAATGTCAAGTTCTATGCAGCAAACAAAACTGATCAGTTGCTAAGACATGGGAACAAATAAGAAATTGAAGATGTCACAACATAATCAAAGAAATAAACAAGTAAACTCCACTATAACCTTAACAGAATTAATTAAGTGTGAATAGAGGTACAATAAAATCTGAGAACTAACGAGGTTGGAACTGTGAAATGTGATTGTGGAAATCAGGGGAGATGTCGGGGTACAAGAATAGTTTGACTGAGACCATGAAGAGTAAATAGGATTTACTCTTATTTAATGGCTTGGAGAACGTGCATACTAAATTGTTAAAATAAGCTGAGAGATACAAGCAGAAAACTACATGGTGTATAGCAGAACGTCAATTTCTGATTGCGGGTAAGAAGCCAAATAAGAAGAGAGTCAAGGGATGCACCCTTGATTAGATATATAAGGAGCTATCTGTGGATTTTAAGCAGAACAGTATTGTGACCTGATTAATATTTTGAAACTTTACTCTGCCGGTGTTAGGAAGCACAGCTGGATAAGGGACAGACCGAACCTAGATGAAAGATTAGGAGACTTTCATCAACTAAACAACAGGTGATAATAACTTACATTAGGCAATGGAAACAAATATTATGACATTTCAAAGGTAAAAATCATGCTTTATTATTATTATTATTGTGTGGGATCAAGATATTTTTATCCCAACTCAGATGTAAAATTGCAAAAATTCTCATGTAGAAAATATACATGCAGAGTCTCAGAAAGGTGGCAAGCAAAGCCAGCATGCTCTGTAATTGAGGGAACGAGAACTCAGCTTTTCAGGCTTTGGATAAGTTGTTTCATTGTACGTGGCTAGTCTCAGATGCAGCATGAGCTGATCGAGCTCCCATAGCATCCGTGTTGATGTCAACCCCAGATTGCAGGGCTGAGATTTTCTGGTTATTTTTATAGAGCAATATTTAAGTCTTTAGGCTCTTTGAAGTATGTTCAAGTGATTGTGCCAACTAGGACTTATTGGATGGATTCAACTCACTGCAAATGAGGGTGTTTTCTTAGGTTCTCTCTTATTTCTTGCTTCTGCCTTTTTCTTTTCTTCCATTTCTGCTTGGCTGAAGGAGAGAAAATGAAAGGAACCATAGGACCAAACGTCCAGGCAATAATTTCTCCACATTCCTGCATTGCTAATCTGTCCTCCCTCCTTAGGAAGAAGCAATGTTGTCCTTTTATCACTACATGCCAATGAGAGGCAATAAAACAGCCTCCAGCATGCTAAGATACCATAATTTCTTCACAGTTTCTGCTTAACATTAAGAGAACAATAGTACTTGTGGATCTAAAGAACTTGCTTTGTATTAACTACCTTTCTTGCCCCTGGTCAGAAAAGAAACATCATTAATATCCATAAAGGAGATTATTAAAACTAGGACCATGGTGACATGTCACCTGGAGGCTAAAGGTGGCCTTTACAAAGCATATCAACTGCTCCCCTGTTTCTCAGACAGGAGGTGAGGTGCAAAGGGCTTTGCAGCACTTTCAGGATATGGGCAACTAGTCAAGTTTCTCCCCTCAAGTCTCTGATTCACCTGCCCCATTGGGCACATACTAACTTTATTAATTCAATTGAAATGTATGGTTTACATACGACTGTGTTACCCACACACAAAATGTAGGGCAGGTAGGAAAATGCCGTCCAATGGTAAACCCAATGAGCCTAAATTTGCTTTGAGCAATAGAACTGCATGATATGAATAGGGAAGTGATGGTATTTCAACCACACATTGTAATCAAGAGGCCATAGATTCTAAATGTAAATCATTACTTAAACTAAGCTCAATCAAATAAACAGAGTAGTTCCAAATTTTGAAAGCAGACTGTCGATTCTAACTTACTGAGCAATAGTATATAAAGTAACATTTACTGTACTTTGATAAGCGTTCGTGGTTGTTTCATGAACAGCTGTAACTCTAGTAGTCAATTTCTACCTTCAGTGCTAACTTTGAGATCTTACCCCTCGGGAAGATGAGATGCCTATAAACTTGTACAACAGGTTTATGAAAGTTCAGCAGTAGAAACTTTTGGATATTTGTACAAGCTCATGCTTGTCAGAACGTTTCAGTGCTTAAGACAATGAGTGATGGCAAAACAGACACCTTGGAATAATAGTTCTAGGTACTGACTCCGAGCTCTGTTGCTAACATTTTCGGTGTAACTTACTCAACTGCCCTCCCTACTCCAAGCCACAGTTTCCTCATCTATGAACCAAGCTGGTTCTATTGGTTTTGCTGTAAGATCCCTTCACTCCTTGACAAGCTAAAGCTCTATACTCACTAGAAGGCTTGACACATGGAACACAAGTTGCCGTGCATTTTCCCATCTGGACCACGGACGGGGTCATTTTCTCGGGTACAGAAAAGCATTCCATTCTTTGCACGGCCCTGATATTCACTGCAGAGTTTCTGAATAATAAACATGAGACAGCATAGTTATAGTTCTCTGCTTATACATTTGAGATTCGCGTCATCCAAAATATTGAGAAAGAGGAATTAAAAATAAAAATAAAACTTTAAGGATTTAGGATCATCCCCCAATTTTGTGACACTTGGCTTCGGAATAGTCATATGGTTAGGTCTTCAACAAATGTATTAAGGGGCTATAAATATAAATGTGGTGTAGCTCTTCCATTGCTCAAGTGAAAAGGATAAGGAATTACAATGTAAAAAGCTAACAGATAGCACAAGACTGAATTAAGTGCATACAGACAAGAAGGAAAGAATAATTCGTGGAAGTTCAGAGAAGAACTTATATCTGATTTGTATCATTGGGATAATTTCCAGGAAAACAATGTGGCATAAAAATGTCCTCTAAGAGGAATTATGATATTCAAAGACACAGAAGCATAAAAGAACATGTTATTTCAAGATAATCTTTTGTTGCCATGAGCATAGTGACTAAAGAATTATGGCAAAGAGAGAAAAGTTTGAGAACTGGTAAAAAAAAAAAAATGAGACCTTGAAGGGAAGTCAAAACCAGACCACTCAAGTTTGAAAGGAATTTTGACTATATTCTTAGGAAATGAGAAAATAATAAATATTTGTAGCAGAGAAGAACATACTCAAATCATCTTTTTAATAATTTTTCTTTTTTTTTGGATAGGAAGGGAGAGAGAAACAGAAACATCCATGTGAGAGAAACATCTATTGGCTGCCTCCTGCACGCCCTGTACTGGGGATCAAGCCTGCAACCCCGGCATGTACCCTGACTGGGAATCAAACCCAGACCTCTCAGTCCATGGGACAATGCTCAATCCACTGAGCAACACCAGCTGTGCGCAAACCTTTGTTTTAGAAAGAGTATCCAGCCAGATGTGTGGAGGATTTGTGTGACTAGAGACTTAAGTCAGGGAAACTATAGAAGAAAAGAAAGGAAGAAAGAAAAGAGGGAGGAAAAAGCCTGGTCGGTTTTGCTCAGCGGTTAGAGCGTCGGCCTGTGGTCCAGAGAGACCCGGGTTTGGTTCCCGCTAAGGGCACATACCTTGGTTGCAGTTTGTCCCCAGCCCTGGTTGGGTCGTGAGGGTGGCAGCCACTTGATGTGTCCCTTTCACAAAGATGTTTCTCGCTCTCTTTTCCTCTCTCTCCCTCCCACTCCATCTGAACAAAAAATGGAAAAAATGTCCTCGGGTGAGGATAAAAAGAAAGAGAGAGAGAGAGGGAGGAAAAATGAAAGGAAGAAATTAGAAATAAAAGAATAGTTGGAGGATGTTTGAGAAATAAAATTAAAAACCTAGGGCTGAGGGGAAGAAAGCAGTTGAAAATGAGACCGAGGCAATAATCTGGAGTTACGTGAAGGCAAAGGTGAATTAATAGAATGGGTTATTTTATAAAACTGTGAACTACACATCATAGAAGGTGGTGTAACTTTGTAAGAAATACGTTAAATAGGGTTTCTTCAGGGAGTGACAGATACCTTCAAATGTTGAATTCACATAATGCCATTGGCTCATGAAAATATTTCCTACCCTATAAAAACAACATGGAAGGTAAATCTTGAGGACTGAGGAAAACTTTAGCTAGAAGTGTAGACATCAGGCAGGATGCTACCGTGTCAATGCAAAGGGAAGCTACTAGGTATTGGAGCTAAGAGAGTAGCACAGAAAAAAGGCAGATGACTAGGTGAGATGTTTAGAAAATATGATGGAGAACAATTTTAAACAGAGCATATTAAAGTTTTCCACGGATATCACTTTCAAAATGAAAACTTCCAAAATGACAACCACGCTTTTGAAGAAAGATGCATTTCGAACTTTGAACTCAGATAAAGTTCATGTACACCTGCTTTGATGTACACCTTCAATTAGGAATGGGGAATTATTTTACTAATATGTCTTGATTAATTTCCTCCAAACAGAGCTTAAAACTATAATGCCATAGGTACTATTTTAATCTTATAAAAAAGAAAAACTGTAAATTAGTTTCCAGAACACCCATCAGTAGTGGAGGAACAATGAACCGATATTGAAAGTCATGACTAGATTGATCGAACTAATCCTCACCTCAGTTTCTCTTTTTACTTTAAGTTTTTCTTCAGCCTTTCTCTGGTTTTCATTTGCGTTCTGTTCTTCTAAAAAATGCCGTTTCCTTGAGAAAGTAACAAAAATGAATACATTCCTCTAATGCTTCAAATCTTCCTGTTACAAAACTGTCATTTAGGCTCAAGTGGTAAAACAGCTAAGTATTCCTGAATTCTTGTACAAACACTTTCCAATCACCTTAAAGCCTCTTATCAAATCGAAAGCTCCACTATTTCCCCAAAGAACCTCTTTCTTCTATTTTGTCTTCATGTACACCATTTCCTTTCATTGTGACGATCTTTTGTGTATCCCTCTTTCTTTTAAATCTCCCCAGTTTAAATTTTCCCTTCACTAAGAACACACCTCAGATCTCAAAGTGAAAATGATTCCTACATCCATCATTCTATTTCATACCTGAATATTTTCCTCTTAGGGGATGTTTTCCTCTGGTCCTGCACTATATATGTGTATGACTGTGCCTAGCCATGGCTTATTTCTGCTATTTAGCCTTATGCTTCCTGTCACCCAGGATCTTCTTTCATACATTCATTCAACATTTAGTTAGTAACAATTTTTTGGCAAGCACTAGCCTGGGCCCTGGGCATATAGCACAGTAAGACATAAAACAAACACATGCTCCATCTTTTTGGAACTTAGAGCCCAGTACAGAAGACTGACAGTCAATAAGCAGTCATAGAAATAATTATCCAGTGACCAACTGCAATGATTGTTATGAAATAAAATCAATAAGAGTTACAAGGATTCAACCTCAATTAAGGATTTTAGGGGGCTTATACAAGGAAGGATGATGTGGAAATGAATTCTGCAGAAGAGAAGACATTAGCTGGCCAAGACTGAGGCAAACTGGCAAAGCAAAGCATCGAGTAAGAACTTAGAGAATTCAAGGATCTGAGAGATAGTATGACTGTCATGATGAGATGATTACTGAGGCAAGCAAAGGCTTGGCACCTGCTTCTTACCCTCATTTTGTATTATGACTATCTCATAGGAAGACTTACAAAGTTTATGAGAGGAAATGTTCAGATGTATTTTGTCATCCTGTCTTCCAACCGGAAAGTAGAATCCATTTGTCATTGGAAATAGACATACACCATTAGGATCTACTCACTAGGTGGTATTATGACTTGCAGAGAACATAAAAGTGCTTGAAAGTTTTGAACAACAAATCTTCACCTCAACACTGATCTGACTCATCATTCCAGTCAATCTCCACTTCACCTTCTGAGTCACCCCAAAGAAACCACAACTGTACTCACAAAAAGTCTGCACACAGGGCACATTTGTTGCCATGTATCCTGCCGTCAGGGCCACGGATTGGGTCACTCTCCCGTGTACAATAAAGTCTTCCTTTCTTCGCTTGCTCTTCATATTCCTTGCAAAAATCCTTTAAAAAGACAATTACATTGAACACTTTTCTACATTTTAATGCTAAAAAGTACACCAGGGTTTCATAGTCAAAGAATGTCAGGTCTCGAAGGTGTTGGTAAACACATATCACATATTAATGAGAATTAAGAAGAAATAGTGGTTACATTGTGGAATTACTCAGTACCTATATTTATTATGTGGTATATTTATCAAAAGGTAAAAGAGCCTTAGAAAAGATAAGGTTGAGAAAGTATTTTCTAACACTAGATAGTTAACTTTCAAATCTGTGAAAAAAAGATAATAAATAAAAAGTCTTTCATGGAGTTGCAAAACATGCAGCAGGCAAGACAAAATAAGGTTGCCAATGAGCAGGATATAGAATCTGTGAGATGAGATACTCACATGCTACTTAATAGGGATCAAGTCAAGAACAATCCAAATTAGTTGGCAAGAAAAAAATTAATATGGTATCCAACAGCATTATGCTTCCTTTAGTTTGTTTTCTCCATGGAACTGTGCATCATTTTTATGTACTCTGCCTCCTTTATAGATGTTTATTTCTAATAGGATAGGTGGACACCTTGAAGAGAGTGAATCTAATTTTCATTCACTCCCCACCTCAGAGAGGTAGAACATCAAGATGAATATTTATTTAGAAAATCTTTCAAAGGTTGTGACTTCCCCCCAATATCTGAGAGGTGTGCACCCAGATTTCTTGATGCTTTTGTTCAGTACTTTCAGGTTCTTCTTTGTGCTTTGAAAACTCTACTATTTGATGTCAGCTGAATTTATATACACACATACACACTCACATAACCCAAATCACTCTAGACTTGGGCATTTCTATGTCAGTAAGCATATTTTGTAGTGACGTGTGTTACTATAATTTAACCTACAAAAAATGCTTCCATTCAGCCTTCTCTTCAAATGAGTGACCTTCATCTTCCCATTTCAGTCAAGAAAATATGAGCATACAAAGTGTGGTTTGAGTCAGAGACCTGGCAGCTTCAAACTCGCTGGGAGACCACAGCAGAGCCCCACCACCTTTGAGACCCAAATCCCACCACTTAGATGAGGAAGTTTTCGGAACAGATGCTCTCTAGGGCCTTTTGTAGATCTTGAATTCTCTGATTTTTTTTTTTTTAATAACACGTGTTATTTAGGACACTTTAAAAGAGAATCCTAATTACCTCCTAATAAGAAGATGTTTTTGAAGGAGCAATGGGTGTGCTCCAGACTTCCTGGTTGTAACAATCTAAGAATACAGATGCAGAAGATAGTCACCCGATAACAATAACATGGTAATAAAATCAATGCTCACCGATTCCCATCAGAGAAACAATGATAATTTCAGTTTATAAGTTGTGATTCATCTGACGAGATTCTGAAGAAATACTTTTGTGAGCAACCCACTGACAGTTTAATTATGGGGCAGACACTGAGCCATCACTACAAAGCAGTCCTATGCAACATAATCGTGTCCATTGGCCCCACTGAAACAATGACCCCAGCCACAGAGAGGACGAGGAAAAGTAGCTGAGATGGGATGGAAGATAAGGGAAAGAACTCTCTTTGTGTTTTTAGAATAATAAAATGCTGACTGCCACAAGATGACCCAAAGTTTTGGACTGAAATTTAACAACCAGCACTAAAGAATTGTTTTTCAATTTCAGTGAGTGTTGAACAAGTTGTTGACAACTCTAAATGCCTTTCTTTCTTTCTTTCTTTCTTTCTTTCTTTCTTTCTTTCTTTCTTTCTTTCTTTCTTTCTTTCTTTCTTTCTTTCTCCTTCCTCTCTCTCTCTTTCTCTCTTTCTTTTTTTTAAATACCCTATGTAGGGTGGGGAAATTGCTTCATTGAATAGCAATATAAACTGGAAGGTCAGGCCTTGACTACCATAAGCTAAACCTATGTCTCCCTTAGAAAACATATGCCCATCTGGCCGGTGTGGCTCAGTGGTTGAGCGTTGACCCATGCACCAAGAGGTCACCAGTTTGATTCCCGGTCAGGGCACATGCCCAGGTTGTGGGCCAAATCCTCAGTGGGGGGCATGCAGGAGGTGGCCAGTCGATGTTCTCTCTCATTGATGTTTCTATCTCTCTCCCTCTCCCTTCCTCTCTCTAAAATCAATAAAGAAAAAAAAGTTTTAAATAAATCATATACTTGTATTACCACAAAAACGTATAAGACGTAGAATCCCAAACCAACAGGAAAATAGAACTGAGATCATTTATCCAACCTCCTCATTTTACTGACGAGGAAATTGAGACCCAGAGAGAGGAGGTGACTTGCTGGTTTCACACACCCAGAGCATGACAGAGCTGAGGCTAAAACTCAGTCATTCTGACCTCTCAGCAAAGGGTTAGTCATTCAGCAAAATAACTACAATCATTTTTATTGAACGTGGATTTACTAACCTTCTTATAGGTAAGGCTGCATTTACCTACAATGTCTATTCTAGTAACAAAATGAATAATATTTTTATGCTAGATGGAAAAATTAAGTCATTCAATAATTTTTAAAAACCTAATTTTAAGTATATTTTCAAAACCACAATCTCAATATTTTTATGTTTGAGATGTTTTTTAACAGAAACAAGACCTTTATAAATGCAGGCATCACTGAATGTAATGACCATACTGGAAACATTAATAATTCCAATTCTGTCAATTGGATTATACACAAAATACATCAGCGGCTATATTGTTCAACAGACGCTAGAATTATTTTTTATTTTATTATTATTATTTTTTTGCACTTATTTTTAATTTGTCATAAAATTTTACAACTTGATTAAAAAAAACAAAGCCAAAGACTGCAAGCACTTCTTAATAAATGTCTTAAATAATAAAAAAAATTATTTTTGAAGTTATTCCTGTCTAATTTATATTATGTTACATTTTAAAATAATTTATTCAAAGCAGGATAAATTTACTCTACAGTCAGAGAGAAGTCTGGTGGAAATTAAGCAGAATTTAATTTGCATAAATGTTCTGACTTACATTCTTTTTCTTTTTCTTTTTTTTAAGCAAAGAGGAAAATTGCATATTTTGAGCTTTAGGTGGGAAATGCTGTTTTAAAAATGAATTTAATGATTAATACATTAAGAATCTTCAACTTGGGGAATTGTGTGATTAAGGGAGAGAATTCTACGTGATAATGAAGGACAATGACATTATTAAATGACCGCAAACCTCCAAGCGTATGATTGTTAATATTTGTAGCTACAAGAACCAGCTTGCATTGGTGAGTAATTTACCATTTCAGCACTTCGTAGAACTCTGATTATATCTTGTTGCTTGTTATTTTCTTCAGCTTCTTTTAAGCTGTTTAGAATGAAAACACATGGTCAGTTTATAGCTCGATCATATTTTCAGTGTCCAGTTCTGTGCTAACTTGTCCTTTGCCCTAAATTGATCCAGTTACGTTAGACAAGCTTTTCTCTGTCTTGAACATCTGAACCAGAAAATTGCTAAAGATAGGAAAGGGTGTGAAAATGACTCACTGACAGTCAATTAGAAGCTTTGTTCTATACAACTGGGCGGGTGTGACTCCTTGATTGACAAACAGATTGTCAGGAAAATTTCCTTTAAAAGGCAGCACCAAGAGCTTTAGAACAATGTTGTGACAGGATGAGACCAAACAGAGTCTTTGAAATATTGGCACCCACACCCTATGTATAACTTTTTATACCTTGTAAAGTGTTTACCTTTATGTAAAAGCATCATTGTTAATAAAAGCTACATAAAGCTGAGCTCCTAAGTCCTTTCAAATCATCAACTATCTAATCGCAGTCTCATGTTATTCTATGTTATTATCTTAGTTCTACAGAGAAAGAAACCCAGAGTTAGGGAGGTCAAATTCTCTTTTTTAGCTAGTGCATGAAAAGAAGTCACAGAATTAGTGCAGGATTCAACACTAAAAGTACACGTCTCCTTGATTTAAAAAAAAGTGAACATTTGGCTAATTTCAAACCTGGAAACCAGTTATAATTATTGTTTTGTAAACCAAATGCCTTGAATTCTACAACAGTACACTATAATTTTGAAAGGCAGGTGTGAAGATTTTTAATCTGTACATCTTTCTCTGTCCAGATTTTAAAGATCCCAGTGATGTATGCAGAGCACTTGAAGGCTTGCTGGCATACGGATTAGAGAGTCTATATCTTGTTTAACATCCAGAATACTATAGACTCATTGGATCGTATTCATACCTGGGTCTCAGTGCTTGGAGCCATGTCTGGCATCCAGAGAAAGATTAACATAACAGTTTCTCCCTTTCATAAATCCCACCTTTTGTACTAATAAGAAATTCAGCCACGTGACATTACTATTATTTTAAATTAGACTTTCATTTTAGTAAGAATCTCTTTACATGCCAAAATGAAGCAATGCATGTCAAATGACTGATCTAGGTTATTCCATATGAAAGTGCTTTTTCAATTTCAAAACATTATGCTTCATAAAATATTGGACATTTTCAAGTCATTATAATTAAATAAATTAAGTCTTGAATTTATTAACTAACATAACCACTGTATCCACTCCTTTTAATAATCTTTAGCAGATGCCCTGGCCAGTATGGTTCAATTGGTTGAGCTCTGTCCCATGCACCAAATGGTTGCCAGTTCGATTCCCAGTCAGGGCACATGCCCAGGTTTCGGGCTCGATTCCCGGTGGGGGTGTGAGTAGGAGGTAGCCAATTGATGTTCTGCTCTCACATCAATGTTTCTCTCTATCTCTCGCTCTCTCTTCCTCTCTCTCTAAGAATCAATAAAAATATTTCTTTTAAAAAAGAAACTTTAGCCCAGCTGGTGTGGCTCACTGGTTGAGCGTTGACCCATGTACCAAGAGGTCATCGGTTCAATTCCCGGTCAGGGCACATGCCCAGGTTGTGGGCCTGATCCCCAGTGGGGGGCATGCAGAAGGCGGCAGATTGATGTTCTCTCTCATCCATGTTTCCATTTTTCTCTCTCTCTCCCTTTCTCTTTCTCTAAAATCAATAAAGAAAAAATATTAAAAGAAAAAAAAAGAAACTTTGGTAGATGATATGAATTGAAAAGAGAAAAGCCACTCTGGGAGCGAGGAGTATTTCACCGTAGGAAGACAAAGGGTTGCACACCTCATCAAAAGGACCTTATTTCTCTGTGGAGTGGTCCTTAGGACAGCAACCAAGTGTATGCTCCTCAGGCCCTCCTGCTTGACCTGCTTGGGGACGATGATACTCACAACAGCTCAGCACACATCGCACACATATTGCCATGTGTCCTCCCATCAGGACCAAGAACTGGATCATTTTCCCTTGTGCACCCGAGTCTTCCATTCTTCACATAAGGCCGGAAAGCACTGCAAACATCCTAGAACGGGGAAAGAAACTTGCCATTTGCCACCTGGATTGTAATGCTTGCAACATGGTTTTTGGAAACTTTATAGAACTCAGTGCCTTTCTGTCCAATGCCTATAGCCACCTAGAGCAGTCTCAGACATGTAGAAGCCACTCAGTATTGCATGATTCACGTGGGGAAGTATGAAACTCATTTACTTATGTATTCATTTATTAGTCAACATGGATAACCTGCTGTGAGCTAGAACTAAGGTAGAACTCAGTCCTTGCCTTCAACTCGCTCACTATCTACTGGGTGAAATGGAGAAAAAGAGATTTATAATACATACTAAATGTCTCGGTGGGTAATCTCGGGTGCACATAAACAGGACATCAATCCTTGACTTAGAAAAACTGTTCAGTGAGAAAGAGCCAAGGGTGACGTACTGAGGCACTCACTTTCTTCCCCTAACACCACAGACTCAGAGAAGTTTAGCATACTACGAAGCTATTTAATACAACTCTCATTTTTAGATATGAAAACACTGGAACAGTATGGTTAAGTAATTTGCCCAAGGTCTCCTGACAGCAAGTGAAAATGCTGGGGGTTCAGTTTAGATTAGGTGACTCAAGTGCAGTAACCTTCCTACTACATGGGCAGTTCCCTTTTACCTAATTTTCCTTCTGAAATACTTCTGAAATCTAATGATATCTCTGTTCTTGAACCATGTTTTATCGTCCCTGATCTCACTATGGTCTCGTTAATATGTTTTTCTTCTCCAGTGAGTTCTATTGTTGTGCACTTATAACATTAAGCCAGAATTTCAGTATAATTTTAGCCCCTTGATGTTGTGTGATAGACCAAATCACCTCTCTGAAACTTGGTACTATCAAATCCTGCCTACCTTCTCTACAGAATGGTATTGTCGATTACAGATTTGAAAGCTCTCTGTAAATTATAAATTGCTATAAAGTTTCTATTATTACAGATCAGGGTTGTGATCTAGCCAGATTGTTAGGTCCATAGTTCTAACTCTTTCATTTATTAGCTGTGCGATTTGGAAAAGTTACTTAACCCCTCTGTGCTTTAGTAGCCTCATTTCCAAAATGCATATAATACTATCAACCTCTCAGGAGTCTAAAGAGATTTAAATATATGAATACATGTACAGCATTTAAACATGTGCTCAGTACACCATAACCATGTATTGTTGTTCTTGCCACTGTTTTTCTCTGTTGACAAGGCAATAAAAAAAACACCTTTTAAGGATAATGGGAGAAACCCCAAAAGCACTAGTAATATGATATGCACCGCGGGACAAAGCTGGACAGGGAGAAAAACAAATGCGCTAGGCAGTAACTGAAGCCTGGGCACCCACTTGCTCCACTTCTTTGAATTTCACTTTCCTCATCTGAAAAATGGAAACGCACACCCTATCCACATGACAGATTTATGCTAAGATCAAATGAATACTTATGAAACATTATTTGGCAACTCACTATTATGACAGGGGCTAAGTAAAAAAGACGTAGAATTGACTTAAACTTACTTTCTATCTACAATCAAAGAATAAAATGAGATTTTTTCTTTATGATGTCACATTGCAAAATAAATTTTTGATGTCTTTATTGTCATAATAAAGCTATTTAATTATAAATATGAAACATTTAAAATATAGACCTGTGATCTAGTATGTCATACAATATAAAGAATAAAAGCAGGATGAATACAAATATATAATGAATTTATAAAACAGAAGATTACATTGAAGAACATTCCTAGAAGCCAACAAATAAGGAAAAAAATAGAAAAACTATAGAACAAACCCCACTAATCATGTCGTGTTGAGGAAGAAGTAAAAAATAGAGTGAAAACAGGACAAGTAATGGCCATATGTGTTATTTTCATCCATTCGGTTCTCATTTATTCTTTAAAAAGTGTTACACATTCTCTAGGCTCTGGGCATTCCATAGACTGGCACACAGCCTCCGTACAAAAAGAAAAAGAAAGAAAGAAAATATATGCTTTAAGGAACTTACATCCTAGTGGGAAGAGATAGGCAATAAATACAAATACTTTTATTTACTTTTTCAATGTTTTCACTGATTGTTTCTAGAGAGATAGAAACATCTATGTGAGAGCGATACATCCACCAACTGCCTCCTGCACGCCCCCTACTGGGGATCGAGCCTGCAACCCAGGCATGCGCCCTGACCAGGAATTGAACCTGGACCTCTCACTCCATAGGACTACACTCAATCTACTGAGCCACAGCAGCCGGGCTAATACAAATCACTTTAAATTATAGTGCTATGAAAAATAAACTGAACAATGTGCTAATATTTAGAAGAATGGCTACTTTAAACATAGTGTCAAGAAAGATCTCTGCAATGGTAATATTTGAGGTGACATGAGATTCAGGAGAAGTCAGCTATCAAAGACCCGAGGGAAGAGCATTCTAGGCTTAGAGAACTGCCATTGCAAAGGAGTTGTGATAAGAACTAGATGGTTCTGTTCAATGGGCGGAAAAAGAGAAGCATGGATGGAGTATAAGAAAGTAGCAGGGGAGCTGCTGGTTTTCTCTCAAAAATCATTTCTGTTGAAACGACAGAAGCCTCAGCAGTATGAATCCAAGTTATTAACGTCCACAGTCACTGCTATATCGGAAAGATCAGCAGAATACCAGGTCACAGGTGTTAGCAGGGTGATGACGGGGCAGGCAGGCCAAGAGCCCAGCTGGGAGGTGATGAGAACAAACAGGTGCCAGCATTTACTCCTCCACCCCACCCCCCCACTCCTACCCCAAGGGCTGGTGGAGCACAGCCCACAGAGAACACCTCTTCCTAATGCTGACAATTTCTGAGAGCTTGCAGACAGATTCCTGGCCTGGGGGCGTGGCAGCAAACCTGAGTAAGCAATGCTGGTTCCAGAACCTTCAGCTGGAGGTCTTACTCATGTCCTCTCCTTACACTCACCAGGAGAGGAAGCAACTAAAGCTTGATCTAGAATATAGCCTAATTCACTTTAGTAGGAAAAACAAAAACAAAATAAGGCAAACTAAAGCCCTTATGAAATATTAAAGTAAAAATATCTGCATATTTGAGGAGTAAAACAATATAAAATACAGTAATATGAACAATATTCGGTATCAACTGAAGCAGAATTATTGAAATGCATAGAAAATGTGTTGAGAGTGTAACTATGCTTTAGAGAGGTATTGGAAAAGATCTGTAATAAAGCAAGAAAAAAGTGGAAGCTTCAGATATGAAAAATATTTAAATGGTATAAACCAATATACAGAGTAAAAATAGGATAGGTATAAATACATAATGAATTTGTGAACCAGAAGATCAGATTAGGAAAGTCTCATAGGAGACATAAAGAAAAACTAATTTAAAATATAAAAAAACATAAAGAATAATAAAATTAAAAATCCTCAAAAGGAGGTACACATATATAGGAAGACTATTTGAAGAAATAGGGAACATCTCTAGAATTAATGAAATGTTAAAGAACAAGAGAAGAGGAGAAATAGCCATAGTAACTCAAACCTAAAATCTGGTCAATAACAAAACTGGGGAGGTTTAGGAGATTTTAGCAAAATTAACTGAGAGCAGACTAACACATTAGGGGAGGAGATAGAGGTATTAACAATACACAGAGATTAGCACTAGTGATCAATTATAAATACAGATATTTGATTAAGGGCAAAGAAGAACAACAAAAATATATGTTACATTTAAGTCATCATCAGTGAAAAGCTGGAAGAAAGAAACTACTTTAAAAACAATTTTTGAAAAAAAAGCCTAGTAACTAAAAATACAAAAACTTGGGAAAACCAACTCCTAGTATAACAAATAACAAAAAATGTAAATTGACTAACCCCACAAATTAAAAGATAATTTGTGATTGGATTTTAAAAATAGGATCAAAGAAGTATTGGTCACAAGAGAAAGATTAAAATGAGAAGGCACCCAAATATTAGAATGGGATAAAAAAAAAAAAAAAAAGATATACAAGGTAAAAATGAACGAGAGCAGAAGCAGCAATATTAATACTTAAAATATAGAATTGAGTCCAAAATGCATCCTAAATAAAAAAAGGGGGGGTGGGTGGAGGGAGGCATTATATTAAGTAAAAGAAAGAAGGAATAAAGAAGGTATAAAGATCATGAGCATAAATTCACCTAATATAACAGGCTCTAAGATAGGTCAACAACCAACAGACTGAGATGGATAAATCAATAACCAGAGTTAGAGATTTGGGCACACACTTCTCAGAAACTATTAGATCAAGGGGTGAAAAATTAAGATGCTTAAGCCATTACCTTTTCATAGAAATCTACATCCCCAAAACAGAAAATAAATATTTTTTCCAGAACATATGAACCATTTATAAAAGTAGACTATTTATTAGGCCGCAAGACAGCCTTAGGAAACTCCAAAGGATCAATATAATATCGTCTATGTTCTCTGACTAAAATTCAATACAATTAAAAGTTAATTTAAAATAGAAAATAGTACCATTTATTTAAAAACCAAATTATGTAGTACTCTATAGTTTTGAAAGGGAAAACAAAATGTTTGGCAAACAGTGACCGATGTAAACACCTCAAGGACAAATCTTGAGAGAGGTGATCATTAATATATTCAAATGCCCTTGTCATGAAATGTAAGAAGTTAAAATTTGATATGGCTCAGTCCATTGTAAAATAAATCACAGAGAAAATGAAAAAAAAAAAAAAAAACAGGAATGAATGACATAGATATAAACAATAAAGAAGATAAGCAAAAAAGCTGAAATGAAAGATTTCTAGTATGACATAAAACAGAAAGAGAAGATAAAGAGAAAAAATACATGCAATGTTAAATGGAAATAACTGTAAGCATTGGGATAGAAATACGATGAAAGCATGTTATTCACTAATTTTTAAAGTTCTATTCAAATACGTTTAGTAAATTTATGGAGTTGTATAACCATCACCACAACCCAATTTTACAATATTTTCATTGCTCCAAGGGTTTCCCCGGTGC